GCGCGCGGTGTGGAGGGGCGTGGTACTGCTGCCGGGAGTGCCAGACGGCGCATTGGCGGGCTCCAGGGGGGCATAAGGAGGCGTGCGGGCGGCGGCAGGGGGCTGCTCAGGGTGCTGCACAGGGGTGAGGGAAAATTATAAATAAGTACAACAACACAATCCAGGGGTGAGGGAAGGCGGATGTGCGGAGTTAGAATAGCCGCCGTGTTCGGAATGTTCACTTACAGCCAGCGGGCGTTATGGGTGTGCACTGTTGGGATTGGAAGCGCTTTTGCTTGGGACTTGTGTTTGTGCATATAGGTCACTCTAGCAGGGCGGACGACGCTATGCCCAGATGTGTGTAGTTGAGTTGAACAAGAGCAAGCAGTTGGGATAGGTTCGCATGTGAACCGCGAGTACAGGCAGAACAGAGGGAAAACAGATGCCCAGATGTTATTGCTTGGATTTGGTATTAGCCCGCAATTATTGGAGGCATTCTGGTAAGTTGACCCGAATTATATGGGATGCTTACCTAGCTAGCTATAATGGGCGGTTCGGCGGGGATTGGTGGCGCGGCGACGGAGAACGGTCGCCAATTACCAGGTGGCCAATTACAGCGGACTTATGGGAGCGAGTGTCCGTCATGCCGCTAGCACCAGTCTGGGCGCTCCAGTCAACGGCAAGCTTTGATTGTAGCCATAGGCGTGTGTGGTCGTGCGTGCCGATAAGCGAGGGCCCAGAGCTGTTTGGGGCCGAGCCATGAGCCGCAGCGCCTTGCCCGCTCGTCCATATCCGCATAGAACTAGTAAAGCTAGTATGACAATCCTTTACCCTACAGTTGTGATCGGCTTGCAGCTTGCCCTTCGCGCCAGCAAGGAATCCGGCTTGCCAACAACGGCAAATCAGCAACAATGGAAAGCTTTTTGTACCGACTTGTCAACGCCTTCTGTGCAAAAAAAACATGGTAAGCAGCTAGGACGTTAGATTGGTCTGCGCTAATGGCGGTTAAGGTCTCGGAGCAAGTTCGGCCGTCGTCTCAGGCATACGCCATGGTCAGAGGACAGATATGCTTTTGAAAGCCTACAGGTCATACAGAATATGAAAGCCTACAGGTCATACAGAATATGGATAACCATAAAGTCCCTCACACGGTGAAGGCCGCCCTAAAGGCGCTTTCAGACATAGCCTATAAATTGCCGACGGGAGTCACCATAAATTGTCTTTTCAATGGAGACCTGGGGAATGCTAGAAAGCAGCTTGCGGAGATTAGTGCATATATGTGGTCACTGTCTACAGAGCGCAGGGCATCCGCCTCCGCAGCCATAGTAACATTAACCGGAGTCCGTGCATTCTTGTTAAGGCTTACGGCGGAGGCGGTGCGAATACTGCCAACCACAGGTCGTTGCGATGGCTTGGTGGACGAGCTTGTGGTGGAAGGCGCTGTGCTTGCCGGCAACCTGCTCATGTTCATGACGCACCTGGACCGGTACGTTCCAGAAGCAGAAACCCATAAACTTCGAGGGCCGTTGGATTTCGTGCGGAAGCTCTTCAGCATGCAAACAGTGCAAGCTTGTAGCCGTCAGCTAGCTGCCACGGCCGAGTGGCTGCTTAACGTTCGCAAGGAGGGCGTTCAGCAGCAGCCACTGGATACAGTGTTCAGCCAGGCGGTGTTGCCTGCCTTAACGCTGCTTGCTGGCATGATAGGCATCTCCTACCGAATGTTGTCTTGGGAAAGGGCTGCAGGCGTCGAACAGCAGCAACAGTATTACATCCGGCTCGGCTCTGTACTTAGGAACAGCTGCCCCATGGAGCATGCGGCGCGAGCCCTGCTTCTTTACCATACATTGGCTGCAGCTGAAGGCGGCCTAACCAAGAAAGCAGAAGAGGCATCGTTCATGTTCTTAACTGCTTTTGTCGAAGCAGACGGCTTTGTTGCGTTGTCTGCCGCAGCTGAGGGCTCTTGTGCTCAGCACGTGGCAGTGGCCCACGGCTTAACGCTCTTATGCGAGGATGATGGTGGCCCCGCCTACGGCTTGCAGCCGGACCTGCTCGGGGTGCTGCCCATTCTGACCGAGCCCTTAGGGGCCCTGGTGTCAACTCCCGCACCGGCTCCAGGCCAAGAGCCGCAGCTGGACCCGGTCTGCTTCAAGGCGATGTTAGCCGCTTTGCGCAGGCAGTCAAAGCAGCCATTGCACCGCAGGACACCCCACATGCTGGCACTTCGCCTCCTGCGCCTTATGCTGCGACGCGGCAACTTGCAGCCTGGTGGCTCAGCTGCCGCCGAGCTTGCTGCTGGTGCGGCGGCGGCTGCTCCACTTTCCAGCACTGCTGCAACTGACGTTGGCGCATTGCCGGCACCGCTGGCTGCCCATGCTGTGTCACGAACCAGCCGCCTAGTGCTGTGCCAGGAGAATGTCTGGGATATTGCGGTTCAAGCTCTGGAGCTTGCCTGGGCAACAATCCCCAGCAGAAGCGGGCATGTGGGGGAGCTTATGGCGGAGTTATGGCGTTTGGCGATGGATACTGGTCGGCACGTCTGCCTGCATGCTGATCGAAACACCTGCTGCGGACTGGGGGAAGCGCTCCAAGAGGCGCTGAGCCCAATAGATCCACATGGTAGGTTGTGGTAAAGCGATGCGCCTGTCATACCAAGGCGCGCACTTCTGGTCTGTACTTGGCTTTTCCTTTTCTGTTCATGAGCCATGTCGGCCTTTCCTCTGGTCCGTTCGGTCTGGTCCGCTCATCGTACCCTACATTCCATTACTCATCCTTTCCAGGCGAGGCCTCATCCAGCTGGGCGCCGTCACCGGTACCTCGCCCGTCTGTGGCCGCAGCAATCGCAGCTGGCCTGCTGCCCTGGCTGGAGGGTCTGCAGCGGTTTCAAATCACACGAGTTGGCCCGGAATGCCGCGAGGGACAGGTCCTTAGTAGTTTCTTGGATGGAACCCGCGACAGAGAAGTCGAGACCTGGCTCGCCCTCTTCACATATTCTGAACCGCGCCAGGCGGCATCGTGGGTGGTGACACACGCCAAATTGCTGCGGCTTGAGAAAGGGTATCTGTCTACTTGCGCCAAGCGCCGCACGAGCGTCTTCCTCAAGCACATGGAGGAGTTGGCGTCCGGGCCGCGGGCTGAAACCCTGGTGCCCGAGGGCGGCCCTGCTGGTGATGACGTCGGGCAGCCAGCGGGGCTTCAGCATCTGGGTCGGTTGGTTTCCTTTGCGGTCTGCGAGTGGCTGCCAACCGCCTCACTCGTCCTGCGGCAGCTGGCGTTGCAGTGTGCCATCGCTGGGGCCCCTCAGGGGGCAGGCATCAACAGGTATTGGGACACGTACATCGCTCCATTGGCGCGCTGGTTATCTGGGCTGGTGCTGTCCTGCAAGGGCCGCAGCGGCGATGCAGACTGCGGGGGCAGCAGCAGCAGCGGCGGCGGCGGCTGGGTTCCCTTCCTGCTTCACGAGGTGGCGGTGGTGCCGCTGCTGGGCTCGCTGCTGCACCTCTGTCGCAGCGTTGAGTCGAACAAGGGGGCGGACCTGGCTGAACTCCTGGACTGCTGCGGCGTGGTGGCGAGTGCCTTTCCGCAGGAGGTGCAGGCGGCGGTGCGGGAAGCCGAGCAGGCAACCATTGCGCCGCCGGTGTTCGCCTGGCCGCCAGCGCAGGTGCGCGGCTTGGCGCCGAAGCTGCGGGAGAGCGGGCGTGGGGAAGCGGCAGACGCCGCTTTGGCGCTGGCAGCCCGGCTGGAGGCCTGGGGTTCTGAAGAAGGTGCCGGGAGCAGTGCCTTGAGCTTCAGGTGTGTGCCGGAGCGGCTGCGGCAGCGGGCCAGTGAGCGGGGCATGTCGGTGCCGGACGTGCTGGGGGTCATGCGGCGGTTCCTGGTGCCGCCGGCGGAGGCACGCCGCCTGCTGCGCACCTGCAGCAACCCCGCCTGTGTCAACCTGAAGGGGGACAGCGAAGCGGAGCTGCCGCTGAAGGCGTGCGCGCGGTGTGGAGGGGCGTGGTACTGCTGCCGGGAGTGCCAGACGGCGCATTGGCGGGCTCCAGGGGGGCATAAGGAGGCGTGCGGGCGGCGGCAGGGGGCTGCTCAGGGTGCTGCACAGGGGTGAGGGAAAATTATAAATAAGTACAACAACACAATCCAGGGGTGAGGGAAGGCGGATGTGCGGAGTTAGAATAGCCGCCGTGTTCGGAATGTTCACTTACAGCCAGCGGGCGTTATGGGTGTGCACTGTTGGGATTGGAAGCGCTTTTGCTTGGGACTTGTGTTTGTGCATATAGGTCACTCTAGCAGGGCGGACGACGCTATGCCCAGATGTGTGTAGTTGAGTTGAACAAGAGCAAGCAGTTGGGATAGGTTCGCATGTGAACCGCGAGTACAGGCAGAACAGAGGGAAAACAGATGCCCAGATGTTATTGCTTGGATTTGGTATTAGCCCGCAATTATTGGAGGCATTCTGGTAAGTTGACCCGAATTATATGGGATGCTTACCTAGCTAGCTATAATGGGCGGTTCGGCGGGGATTGGTGGCGCGGCGACGGAGAACGGTCGCCAATTACCAGGTGGCCAATTACAGCGGACTTATGGGAGCGAGTGTCCGTCATGCCGCTAGCACCAGTCTGGGCGCTCCAGTCAACGGCAAGCTTTGATTGTAGCCATAGGCGTGTGTGGTCGTGCGTGCCGATAAGCGAGGGCCCAGAGCTGTTTGGGGCCGAGCCATGAGCCGCAGCGCCTTGCCCGCTCGTCCATATCCGCATAGAACTAGTAAAGCTAGTATGACAATCCTTTACCCTACAGTTGTGATCGGCTTGCAGCTTGCCCTTCGCGCCAGCAAGGAATCCGGCTTGCCAACAACGGCAAATCAGCAACAATGGAAAGCTTTTTGTACCGACTTGTCAACGCCTTCTGTGCAAAAAAAACATGGTAAGCAGCTAGGACGTTAGATTGGTCTGCGCTAATGGCGGTTAAGGTCTCGGAGCAAGTTCGGCCGTCGTCTCAGGCATACGCCATGGTCAGAGGACAGATATGCTTTTGAAAGCCTACAGGTCATACAGAATATGAAAGCCTACAGGTCATACAGAATATGGATAACCATAAAGTCCCTCACACGGTGAAGGCCGCCCTAAAGGCGCTTTCAGACATAGCCTATAAATTGCCGACGGGAGTCACCATAAATTGTCTTTTCAATGGAGACCTGGGGAATGCTAGAAAGCAGCTTGCGGAGATTAGTGCATATATGTGGTCACTGTCTACAGAGCGCAGGGCATCCGCCTCCGCAGCCATAGTAACATTAACCGGAGTCCGTGCATTCTTGTTAAGGCTTACGGCGGAGGCGGTGCGAATACTGCCAACCACAGGTCGTTGCGATGGCTTGGTGGACGAGCTTGTGGTGGAAGGCGCTGTGCTTGCCGGCAACCTGCTCATGTTCATGACGCACCTGGACCGGTACGTTCCAGAAGCAGAAACCCATAAACTTCGAGGGCCGTTGGATTTCGTGCGGAAGCTCTTCAGCATGCAAACAGTGCAAGCTTGTAGCCGTCAGCTAGCTGCCACGGCCGAGTGGCTGCTTAACGTTCGCAAGGAGGGCGTTCAGCAGCAGCCACTGGATACAGTGTTCAGCCAGGCGGTGTTGCCTGCCTTAACGCTGCTTGCTGGCATGATAGGCATCTCCTACCGAATGTTGTCTTGGGAAAGGGCTGCAGGCGTCGAACAGCAGCAACAGTATTACATCCGGCTCGGCTCTGTACTTAGGAACAGCTGCCCCATGGAGCATGCGGCGCGAGCCCTGCTTCTTTACCATACATTGGCTGCAGCTGAAGGCGGCCTAACCAAGAAAGCAGAAGAGGCATCGTTCATGTTCTTAACTGCTTTTGTCGAAGCAGACGGCTTTGTTGCGTTGTCTGCCGCAGCTGAGGGCTCTTGTGCTCAGCACGTGGCAGTGGCCCACGGCTTAACGCTCTTATGCGAGGATGATGGTGGCCCCGCCTACGGCTTGCAGCCGGACCTGCTCGGGGTGCTGCCCATTCTGACCGAGCCCTTAGGGGCCCTGGTGTCAACTCCCGCACCGGCTCCAGGCCAAGAGCCGCAGCTGGACCCGGTCTGCTTCAAGGCGATGTTAGCCGCTTTGCGCAGGCAGTCAAAGCAGCCATTGCACCGCAGGACACCCCACATGCTGGCACTTCGCCTCCTGCGCCTTATGCTGCGACGCGGCAACTTGCAGCCTGGTGGCTCAGCTGCCGCCGAGCTTGCTGCTGGTGCGGCGGCGGCTGCTCCACTTTCCAGCACTGCTGCAACTGACGTTGGCGCATTGCCGGCACCGCTGGCTGCCCATGCTGTGTCACGAACCAGCCGCCTAGTGCTGTGCCAGGAGAATGTCTGGGATATTGCGGTTCAAGCTCTGGAGCTTGCCTGGGCAACAATCCCCAGCAGAAGCGGGCATGTGGGGGAGCTTATGGCGGAGTTATGGCGTTTGGCGATGGATACTGGTCGGCACGTCTGCCTGCATGCTGATCGAAACACCTGCTGCGGACTGGGGGAAGCGCTCCAAGAGGCGCTGAGCCCAATAGATCCACATGGTAGGTTGTGGTAAAGCGATGCGCCTGTCATACCAAGGCGCGCACTTCTGGTCTGTACTTGGCTTTTCCTTTTCTGTTCATGAGCCATGTCGGCCTTTCCTCTGGTCCGTTCGGTCTGGTCCGCTCATCGTACCCTACATTCCATTACTCATCCTTTCCAGGCGAGGCCTCATCCAGCTGGGCGCCGTCACCGGTACCTCGCCCGTCTGTGGCCGCAGCAATCGCAGCTGGCCTGCTGCCCTGGCTGGAGGGTCTGCAGCGGTTTCAAATCACACGAGTTGGCCCGGAATGCCGCGAGGGACAGGTCCTTAGTAGTTTCTTGGATGGAACCCGCGACAGAGAAGTCGAGACCTGGCTCGCCCTCTTCACATATTCTGAACCGCGCCAGGCGGCATCGTGGGTGGTGACACACGCCAAATTGCTGCGGCTTGAGAAAGGGTATCTGTCTACTTGCGCCAAGCGCCGCACGAGCGTCTTCCTCAAGCACATGGAGGAGTTGGCGTCCGGGCCGCGGGCTGAAACCCTGGTGCCCGAGGGCGGCCCTGCTGGTGATGACGTCGGGCAGCCAGCGGGGCTTCAGCATCTGGGTCGGTTGGTTTCCTTTGCGGTCTGCGAGTGGCTGCCAACCGCCTCACTCGTCCTGCGGCAGCTGGCGTTGCAGTGTGCCATCGCTGGGGCCCCTCAGGGGGCAGGCATCAACAGGTATTGGGACACGTACATCGCTCCATTGGCGCGCTGGTTATCTGGGCTGGTGCTGTCCTGCAAGGGCCGCAGCGGCGATGCAGACTGCGGGGGCAGCAGCAGCAGCGGCGGCGGCGGCTGGGTTCCCTTCCTGCTTCACGAGGTGGCGGTGGTGCCGCTGCTGGGCTCGCTGCTGCACCTCTGTCGCAGCGTTGAGTCGAACAAGGGGGCGGACCTGGCTGAACTCCTGGACTGCTGCGGCGTGGTGGCGAGTGCCTTTCCGCAGGAGGTGCAGGCGGCGGTGCGGGAAGCCGAGCAGGCAACCATTGCGCCGCCGGTGTTCGCCTGGCCGCCAGCGCAGGTGCGCGGCTTGGCGCCGAAGCTGCGGGAGAGCGGGCGTGGGGAAGCGGCAGACGCCGCTTTGGCGCTGGCAGCCCGGCTGGAGGCCTGGGGTTCTGAAGAAGGTGCCGGGAGCAGTGCCTTGAGCTTCAGGTGTGTGCCGGAGCGGCTGCGGCAGCGGGCCAGTGAGCGGGGCATGTCGGTGCCGGACGTGCTGGGGGTCATGCGGCGGTTCCTGGTGCCGCCGGCGGAGGCACGCCGCCTGCTGCGCACCTGCAGCAACCCCGCCTGTGTCAACCTGAAGGGGGACAGCGAAGCGGAGCTGCCGCTGAAGGCGTGCGCGCGGTGTGGAGGGGCGTGGTACTGCTGCCGGGAGTGCCAGACGGCGCATTGGCGGGCTCCAGGGGGGCATAAGGAGGCGTGCGGGCGGCGGCAGGGGGCTGCTCAGGGTGCTGCACAGGGGTGAGGGAAAATTATAAATAAGTACAACAACACAATCCAGGGGTGAGGGAAGGCGGATGTGCGGAGTTAGAATAGCCGCCGTGTTCGGAATGTTCACTTACAGCCAGCGGGCGTTATGGGTGTGCACTGTTGGGATTGGAAGCGCTTTTGCTTGGGACTTGTGTTTGTGCATATAGGTCACTCTAGCAGGGCGGACGACGCTATGCCCAGATGTGTGTAGTTGAGTTGAACAAGAGCAAGCAGTTGGGATAGGTTCGCATGTGAACCGCGAGTACAGGCAGAACAGAGGGAAAACAGATGCCCAGATGTTATTGCTTGGATTTGGTATTAGCCCGCAATTATTGGAGGCATTCTGGTAAGTTGACCCGAATTATATGGGATGCTTACCTAGCTAGCTATAATGGGCGGTTCGGCGGGGATTGGTGGCGCGGCGACGGAGAACGGTCGCCAATTACCAGGTGGCCAATTACAGCGGACTTATGGGAGCGAGTGTCCGTCATGCCGCTAGCACCAGTCTGGGCGCTCCAGTCAACGGCAAGCTTTGATTGTAGCCATAGGCGTGTGTGGTCGTGCGTGCCGATAAGCGAGGGCCCAGAGCTGTTTGGGGCCGAGCCATGAGCCGCAGCGCCTTGCCCGCTCGTCCATATCCGCATAGAACTAGTAAAGCTAGTATGACAATCCTTTACCCTACAGTTGTGATCGGCTTGCAGCTTGCCCTTCGCGCCAGCAAGGAATCCGGCTTGCCAACAACGGCAAATCAGCAACAATGGAAAGCTTTTTGTACCGACTTGTCAACGCCTTCTGTGCAAAAAAAACATGGTAAGCAGCTAGGACGTTAGATTGGTCTGCGCTAATGGCGGTTAAGGTCTCGGAGCAAGTTCGGCCGTCGTCTCAGGCATACGCCATGGTCAGAGGACAGATATGCTTTTGAAAGCCTACAGGTCATACAGAATATGAAAGCCTACAGGTCATACAGAATATGGATAACCATAAAGTCCCTCACACGGTGAAGGCCGCCCTAAAGGCGCTTTCAGACATAGCCTATAAATTGCCGACGGGAGTCACCATAAATTGTCTTTTCAATGGAGACCTGGGGAATGCTAGAAAGCAGCTTGCGGAGATTAGTGCATATATGTGGTCACTGTCTACAGAGCGCAGGGCATCCGCCTCCGCAGCCATAGTAACATTAACCGGAGTCCGTGCATTCTTGTTAAGGCTTACGGCGGAGGCGGTGCGAATACTGCCAACCACAGGTCGTTGCGATGGCTTGGTGGACGAGCTTGTGGTGGAAGGCGCTGTGCTTGCCGGCAACCTGCTCATGTTCATGACGCACCTGGACCGGTACGTTCCAGAAGCAGAAACCCATAAACTTCGAGGGCCGTTGGATTTCGTGCGGAAGCTCTTCAGCATGCAAACAGTGCAAGCTTGTAGCCGTCAGCTAGCTGCCACGGCCGAGTGGCTGCTTAACGTTCGCAAGGAGGGCGTTCAGCAGCAGCCACTGGATACAGTGTTCAGCCAGGCGGTGTTGCCTGCCTTAACGCTGCTTGCTGGCATGATAGGCATCTCCTACCGAATGTTGTCTTGGGAAAGGGCTGCAGGCGTCGAACAGCAGCAACAGTATTACATCCGGCTCGGCTCTGTACTTAGGAACAGCTGCCCCATGGAGCATGCGGCGCGAGCCCTGCTTCTTTACCATACATTGGCTGCAGCTGAAGGCGGCCTAACCAAGAAAGCAGAAGAGGCATCGTTCATGTTCTTAACTGCTTTTGTCGAAGCAGACGGCTTTGTTGCGTTGTCTGCCGCAGCTGAGGGCTCTTGTGCTCAGCACGTGGCAGTGGCCCACGGCTTAACGCTCTTATGCGAGGATGATGGTGGCCCCGCCTACGGCTTGCAGCCGGACCTGCTCGGGGTGCTGCCCATTCTGACCGAGCCCTTAGGGGCCCTGGTGTCAACTCCCGCACCGGCTCCAGGCCAAGAGCCGCAGCTGGACCCGGTCTGCTTCAAGGCGATGTTAGCCGCTTTGCGCAGGCAGTCAAAGCAGCCATTGCACCGCAGGACACCCCACATGCTGGCACTTCGCCTCCTGCGCCTTATGCTGCGACGCGGCAACTTGCAGCCTGGTGGCTCAGCTGCCGCCGAGCTTGCTGCTGGTGCGGCGGCGGCTGCTCCACTTTCCAGCACTGCTGCAACTGACGTTGGCGCATTGCCGGCACCGCTGGCTGCCCATGCTGTGTCACGAACCAGCCGCCTAGTGCTGTGCCAGGAGAATGTCTGGGATATTGCGGTTCAAGCTCTGGAGCTTGCCTGGGCAACAATCCCCAGCAGAAGCGGGCATGTGGGGGAGCTTATGGCGGAGTTATGGCGTTTGGCGATGGATACTGGTCGGCACGTCTGCCTGCATGCTGATCGAAACACCTGCTGCGGACTGGGGGAAGCGCTCCAAGAGGCGCTGAGCCCAATAGATCCACATGGTAGGTTGTGGTAAAGCGATGCGCCTGTCATACCAAGGCGCGCACTTCTGGTCTGTACTTGGCTTTTCCTTTTCTGTTCATGAGCCATGTCGGCCTTTCCTCTGGTCCGTTCGGTCTGGTCCGCTCATCGTACCCTACATTCCATTACTCATCCTTTCCAGGCGAGGCCTCATCCAGCTGGGCGCCGTCACCGGTACCTCGCCCGTCTGTGGCCGCAGCAATCGCAGCTGGCCTGCTGCCCTGGCTGGAGGGTCTGCAGCGGTTTCAAATCACACGAGTTGGCCCGGAATGCCGCGAGGGACAGGTCCTTAGTAGTTTCTTGGATGGAACCCGCGACAGAGAAGTCGAGACCTGGCTCGCCCTCTTCACATATTCTGAACCGCGCCAGGCGGCATCGTGGGTGGTGACACACGCCAAATTGCTGCGGCTTGAGAAAGGGTATCTGTCTACTTGCGCCAAGCGCCGCACGAGCGTCTTCCTCAAGCACATGGAGGAGTTGGCGTCCGGGCCGCGGGCTGAAACCCTGGTGCCCGAGGGCGGCCCTGCTGGTGATGACGTCGGGCAGCCAGCGGGGCTTCAGCATCTGGGTCGGTTGGTTTCCTTTGCGGTCTGCGAGTGGCTGCCAACCGCCTCACTCGTCCTGCGGCAGCTGGCGTTGCAGTGTGCCATCGCTGGGGCCCCTCAGGGGGCAGGCATCAACAGGTATTGGGACACGTACATCGCTCCATTGGCGCGCTGGTTATCTGGGCTGGTGCTGTCCTGCAAGGGCCGCAGCGGCGATGCAGACTGCGGGGGCAGCAGCAGCAGCGGCGGCGGCGGCTGGGTTCCCTTCCTGCTTCACGAGGTGGCGGTGGTGCCGCTGCTGGGCTCGCTGCTGCACCTCTGTCGCAGCGTTGAGTCGAACAAGGGGGCGGACCTGGCTGAACTCCTGGACTGCTGCGGCGTGGTGGCGAGTGCCTTTCCGCAGGAGGTGCAGGCGGCGGTGCGGGAAGCCGAGCAGGCAACCATTGCGCCGCCGGTGTTCGCCTGGCCGCCAGCGCAGGTGCGCGGCTTGGCGCCGAAGCTGCGGGAGAGCGGGCGTGGGGAAGCGGCAGACGCCGCTTTGGCGCTGGCAGCCCGGCTGGAGGCCTGGGGTTCTGAAGAAGGTGCCGGGAGCAGTGCCTTGAGCTTCAGGTGTGTGCCGGAGCGGCTGCGGCAGCGGGCCAGTGAGCGGGGCATGTCGGTGCCGGACGTGCTGGGGGTCATGCGGCGGTTCCTGGTGCCGCCGGCGGAGGCACGCCGCCTGCTGCGCACCTGCAGCAACCCCGCCTGTGTCAACCTGAAGGGGGACAGCGAAGCGGAGCTGCCGCTGAAGGCGTGCGCGCGGTGTGGAGGGGCGTGGTACTGCTGCCGGGAGTGCCAGACGGCGCATTGGCGGGCTCCAGGGGGGCATAAGGAGGCGTGCGGGCGGCGGCAGGGGGCTGCTCAGGGTGCTGCACAGGGGTGAGGGAAAATTATAAATAAGTACAACAACACAATCCAGGGGTGAGGGAAGGCGGATGTGCGGAGTTAGAATAGCCGCCGTGTTCGGAATGTTCACTTACAGCCAGCGGGCGTTATGGGTGTGCACTGTTGGGATTGGAAGCGCTTTTGCTTGGGACTTGTGTTTGTGCATATAGGTCACTCTAGCAGGGCGGACGACGCTATGCCCAGATGTGTGTAGTTGAGTTGAACAAGAGCAAGCAGTTGGGATAGGTTCGCATGTGAACCGCGAGTACAGGCAGAACAGAGGGAAAACAGATGCCCAGATGTTATTGCTTGGATTTGGTATTAGCCCGCAATTATTGGAGGCATTCTGGTAAGTTGACCCGAATTATATGGGATGCTTACCTAGCTAGCTATAATGGGCGGTTCGGCGGGGATTGGTGGCGCGGCGACGGAGAACGGTCGCCAATTACCAGGTGGCCAATTACAGCGGACTTATGGGAGCGAGTGTCCGTCATGCCGCTAGCACCAGTCTGGGCGCTCCAGTCAACGGCAAGCTTTGATTGTAGCCATAGGCGTGTGTGGTCGTGCGTGCCGATAAGCGAGGGCCCAGAGCTGTTTGGGGCCGAGCCATGAGCCGCAGCGCCTTGCCCGCTCGTCCATATCCGCATAGAACTAGTAAAGCTAGTATGACAATCCTTTACCCTACAGTTGTGATCGGCTTGCAGCTTGCCCTTCGCGCCAGCAAGGAATCCGGCTTGCCAACAACGGCAAATCAGCAACAATGGAAAGCTTTTTGTACCGACTTGTCAACGCCTTCTGTGCAAAAAAAACATGGTAAGCAGCTAGGACGTTAGATTGGTCTGCGCTAATGGCGGTTAAGGTCTCGGAGCAAGTTCGGCCGTCGTCTCAGGCATACGCCATGGTCAGAGGACAGATATGCTTTTGAAAGCCTACAGGTCATACAGAATATGAAAGCCTACTGGTCATACAGAATATGGATAACCATAAAGTCCCTCACACGGTGAAGGCCGCCCTAAAGGCGCTTTCAGACATAGCCTATAAATTGCCGACGGGAGTCACCATAAATTGTCTTTTCAATGGAGACCTGGGGAATGCTAGAAAGCAGCTTGCGGAGATTAGTGCATATATGTGGTCACTGTCTACAGAGCGCAGGGCATCCGCCTCCGCAGCCATAGTAACATTAACCGGAGTCCGTGCATTCTTGTTAAGGCTTACGGCGGAGGCGGTGCGAATACTGCCAACCACAGGTCGTTGCGATGGCTTGGTGGACGAGCTTGTGGTGGAAGGCGCTGTGCTTGCCGGCAACCTGCTCATGTTCATGACGCACCTGGACCGGTACGTTCCAGAAGCAGAAACCCATAAACTTCGAGGGCCGTTGGATTTCGTGCGGAAGCTCTTCAGCATGCAAACAGTGCAAGCTTGTAGCCGTCAGCTAGCTGCCACGGCCGAGTGGCTGCTTAACGTTCGCAAGGAGGGCGTTCAGCAGCAGCCACTGGATACAGTGTTCAGCCAGGCGGTGTTGCCTGCCTTAACGCTGCTTGCTGGCATGATAGGCATCTCCTACCGAATGTTGTCTTGGGAAAGGGCTGCAGGCGTCGAACAGCAGCAACAGTATTACATCCGGCTCGGCTCTGTACTTAGGAACAGCTGCCCCATGGAGCATGCGGCGCGAGCCCTGCTTCTTTACCATACATTGGCTGCAGCTGAAGGCGGCCTAACCAAGAAAGCAGAAGAGGCATCGTTCATGTTCTTAACTGCTTTTGTCGAAGCAGACGGCTTTGTTGCGTTGTCTGCCGCAGCTGAGGGCTCTTGTGCTCAGCACGTGGCAGTGGCCCACGGCTTAACGCTCTTATGCGAGGATGATGGTGGCCCCGCCTACGGCTTGCAGCCGGACCTGCTCGGGGTGCTGCCCATTCTGACCGAGCCCTTAGGGGCCCTGGTGTCAACTCCCGCACCGGCTCCAGGCCAAGAGCCGCAGCTGGACCCGGTCTGCTTCAAGGCGATGTTAGCCGCTTTGCGCAGGCAGTCAAAGCAGCCATTGCACCGCAGGACACCCCACATGCTGGCACTTCGCCTCCTGCGCCTTATGCTGCGACGCGGCAACTTGCAGCCTGGTGGCTCAGCTGCCGCCGAGCTTGCTGCTGGTGCGGCGGCGGCTGCTCCACTTTCCAGCACTGCTGCAACTGACGTTGGCGCATTGCCGGCACCGCTGGCTGCCCATGCTGTGTCACGAACCAGCCGCCTAGTGCTGTGCCAGGAGAATGTCTGGGATATTGCGGTTCAAGCTCTGGAGCTTGCCTGGGCAACAATCCCCAGCAGAAGCGGGCATGTGGGGGAGCTTATGGCGGAGTTATGGCGTTTGGCGATGGATACTGGTCGGCACGTCTGCCTGCATGCTGATCGAAACACCTGCTGCGGACTGGGGGAAGCGCTCCAAGAGGCGCTGAGCCCAATAGATCCACATGGTAGGTTGTGGTAAAGCGATGCGCCTGTCATACCAAGGCGCGCACTTCTGGTCTGTACTTGGCTTTTTCTTTTCTGTTCATGAGCCATGTCGGCCTTTCCTCTGGTCCGTTCGGTCTGGTCCGCTCATCGTACCCTACATTCCATTACTCATCCTTTCCAGGCGAGGCCTCATCCAGCTGGGCGCCGTCACCGGTACCTCGCCCGTCTGTGGCCGCAGCAATCGCAGCTGGCCTGCTGCCCTGGCTGGAGGGTCTGCAGCGGTTTCAAATCACACGAGTTGGCCCGGAATGCCGCGAGGGACAGGTCCTTAGTAGTTTCTTGGATGGAACCCGCGACAGAGAAGTCGAGACCTGGCTCGCCCTCTTCACATATTCTGAACCGCGCCAGGCGGCATCGTGGGTGGTGACACACGCCAAATTGCTGCGGCTTGAGAAAGGGTATCTGTCTACTTGCGCCAAGCGCCGCACGAGCGTCTTCCTCAAGCACATGGAGGAGTTGGCGTCCGGGCCGCGGGCTGAAACCCTGGTGCCCGAGGGCGGCCCTGCTGGTGATGACGTCGGGCAGCCAGCGGGGCTTCAGCATCTGGGTCGGTTGGTTTCCTTTGCGGTCTGCGAGTGGCTGCCAACCGCCTCACTCGTCCTGCGGCAGCTGGCGTTGCAGTGTGCCATCGCTGGGGCCCCTCAGGGGGCAGGCATCAACAGGTATTGGGACACGTACATCGCTCCATTGGCGCGCTGGTTATCTGGGCTGGTGCTGTCCTGCAAGGGCCGCAGCGGCGATGCAGACTGCGGGGGCAGCAGCAGCAGCGGCGGCGGCGGCTGGGTTCCCTTCCTGCTTCACGAGGTGGCGGTGGTGCCGCTGCTGGGCTCGCTGCTGCACCTCTGTCGCAGCGTTGAGTCGAACAAGGGGGCGGACCTGGCTGAACTCCTGGACTGCTGCGGCGTGGTGGCGAGTGCCTTTCCGCAGGAGGTGCAGGCGGCGGTGCGGGAAGCCGAGCAGGCAACCATTGCGCCGCCGGTGTTCGCCTGGCCGCCAGCGCAGGTGCGCGGCTTGGCGCCGAAGCTGCGGGAGAGCGGGCGTGGGGAAGCGGCAGACGCCGCTTTGGCGCTGGCAGCCCGGCTGGAGGCCTGGGGTTCTGAAGAAGGTGCCGGGAGCAGTGCCTTGAGCTTCAGGTGTGTGCCGGAGCGGCTGCGGCAGCGGGCCAGTGAGCGGGGCATGTCGGTGCCGGACGTGCTGGGGGTCATGCGGCGGTTCCTGGTGCCGCCGGCGGAGGCACGCCGCCTGCTGCGCACCTGCAGCAACCCCGCCTGTGTCAACCTGAAGGGGGACAGCGAAGCGGAGCTGCCGCTGAAGGCGTGCGCGCGGTGTGGAGGGGCGTGGTACTGCTGCCGGGAGTGCCAGACGGCGCATTGGCGGGCTCCAGGGGGGCATAAGGAGGCGTGCGGGCGGCGGCAGGGGGCTGCTCAGGGTGCTGCACAGGGGTGAGGGAAGGCGGATGAGCGGGGTTAGGATAGCCGCCGCGTTGGGAATGTTAACTTACAGCCAGCGGGCGTTATGGGTGTGCACTGTTGGGATTGGAGGCATTTTAGGATAACCACCATTGTGAGTGGGCACTTGCTTGGGACTTGTGATTGTGCATATAGGTCACCCTAGCAGGGCGGACGACGCTATGCCCAGGTGTGTGTAGTTGAGTAGAACAAGATCAAGCAGTTGGGATAGGTTCGCATGTGAACCGCGAGTACAGGCAGAACAGAGGGAAAACAGATGCCCAGATCTGTTTGTATTGACTTCACCCTTGCAACGTCAGCCCTTGATATGCTTAGGTTGGCTGGAGGCAATGTATATGTCGGCGGTCGTGTTAGTTCTATTGCTATGTTAGGAATGTTACAGTTGCCGTCCCAACACTGGCAGTGTAGTTGGAGGATGCCATAACTTGGAGATGAGTGAAACCCCTGACGCCCTGAGCCGTGTTGATGACAGTTTGGATGACAGTTTTTGTTGTAGCTACTGGCCACCTTGTGTGTTTCTTCCGTCCTGGGTTGTAGTACTGCTTGGCACGGCTAAGCCCCTGCGGCCTGTTGCTTGCCGCTGCTTCTAGGAGTTTGCCATGTGCTGGGAACGGTGGTATGGTAGGACGCATGGCGCTGTCTGCCGTTGTCTGCCTTCTATGTCTCGCCCCATGCCCCAACCCCCCAGGCCGTTTCGGCACCCTTCAGAGTCCTCCTGCTGTCAGTTTGCTTTCTTCCGTGGCATGCGGCTGCGGCTTTGTCGTTCACATTGTTTTTGTGATAATGGACGTGGAGTTGCGAATGCGGGGTGTTAAACCGAGCTCCGTGTGAATCCCCACGCAGGGTCTCTTTGTGTGAAGCACTGTTATCTGTCTTGCCGATTGTCCTACCACCGTACTAGTTAGCTACGACTAACAGCTCATTGGTCTGGCATGGCGTTGCTGGCGATAGCAAGGAATAGCGCTGCATAATAGCTTAGATGCGGAAGAGCACTTGATTGGTTACTATGGTCTTGGGTTGGTTACTACGGTCTTTGGATGGAGTTCGGCCTGGTTCTTGGGGTGCTGCGGTAGGCGATAAAGGCAGGCGTCAGGACGCAGCAGCATTCGGCACTTGAACCTTGCATTTGTCATGCAGGGGCTTGTGGCCTGCATGGGAGCTCACCCATGCGCCATTCCCGAGCTCGTCCGTTGGTCGGCGTCATTCGTCTGCCTTGATACGAGTATGGGTGTTGTTGGAGGAAACTTGATTACAGTGCTGGTTAGGATCCTGGTGACCCCGAGCTTCCTCTACTGGTAGAGTTCTTACAGGATCCGGTCAAGGTAACAAAGGCCTGTAACAGCCCATGTGCTGCCCAGCCTGACGTACCATCCCAAATTGCAACGCACGGATGGTCACGCAACATGCTACGCCATGACAACAACGTTAGACCAAAAGCCCACAGGTGTGAGCTAACCGTCTCCGATGCATGAAAATAAATTGCTCTGCAGTGCTGCTAACCGTCATAAGAAAAAGCCTCCAAACGAGGACAGCTATCGTGCACCAGTTTTCAATTCATCCGCACCACCACAAACAACCATCATTTGGTTTCGGGGTGGGCTGTACAACGACCATCATCTCGATTGGGCCCAATCGGACTTCTGTTCGCAGCTTCACACAATCTCACACACCCCCTCCCTAATAACCAGCCTTAGCGACAACGGCTGATGCATCTGTCCTTCCAAACCCACACTCCAGGGCAATATAAATCACGCGCCATGTGTGCCTTTGCACGAGATCCTCACAACAAATCATGCCCCAAATAGAGCCTATATATCGTGTTTGGTATTCCCGCCTTGCATTACGTTGCTGGTAATGGCGGCAAAGCGATCTGCCGATCCCAACCCCTCGTACAATCCTTAACAACCTCCATACCGCATGAAACCAGAACCAGGCTCCAAGCAATGTGTGCTCCTAGCGCTGGCGTAACTTCCATACCCGCCATGCTCCGCCGGCGAGCATGAAGGTTAGGCAGCGGCAAGCAGCGGCGCACAACCCCGCGCCATACACCGGCGGCATACACCACCGTCTTTGGTATCTGGCCGCCAACATGAAATTGAACAGCATGATCGAATCTTCCCACAACCAGTCGCTATAAGGTTGCGCCCTAACGCTGTATGTACGACCCCCTTTGTGTGAAAAGGCTTGTCACGCACAAATGGGGATGGACACCGGCCGCCATGTGAAGGAAGAGAGCAAACATGCAGACGCCGGCAAAAGACGCAGCTCACGCTGAGAAAGGACAACCGACCCTCGTTTGTATTAACGGACAACCAACGAACTAACCAACCAACTCTCTTAATGCGTATTTAGTACGACAGGACGAGTGGGCCACACAGCCATGGACTCAAACGTTGATTGCCTCCTGGTGTTGATGGTTGCTTGATCGACGCCCTCTCAGTGCACTACCTTCACCGGCCCTTCAAGCAACTCCCCAAACTTCCAACCTTGCAAATACGAGACACCCCAAAACCGAACGAGGGATTGTTGTTCGAAACATACCTAATAGGTTGAAGAACAGGGCTAGACACATGCAACTCTCCGTTCTAACACACTAAACACTTACATGTGAAAATATAACGTACATACCCATTTCGCCGCAGCAAAACGGGTCGCTTGTAAGTAGCTAGATGCTACTATTCGGATACCGTATATTTGTGCATATACTTCTTTGCACAGCAATGCCACCAAGCCTTAAAATCACCTGGCACCTCCTCACGTGTACGCATCCCCCCTGCCCGGACCAAGAACCCACTTCCACCGCACCAAGTACACCGCCCCGCGCTCCCGGTCCCCGCCAAAGTCAGAGCTCAGCAGCCGACTCGACAGCGATATGCGCGGACTCCGTTCCAACCTTAGATGAGACCCACCTCCTCCCCCTCCGCCTCCGCCGCCGCCACCTCCGCCTCCTCCCAACGCTTCCGTGAGCGTAATCAGCGCACGCAGCGTCGCCCTACTGGCCCGATCCCGGTCCGGTTCCTTCTCACGGTCACGGTCACGGTCGGTTCCAGAAGCGCGGGCTTCTGCTAGGTTGGAGGTAGAGAAGCCTGGGTCTAGCAGATCTGGTAGGGCTGAGGACTGCTGGTGCTGCTGCTGCTGCTGGGATTGGTACTGGTGGTCAGGTTGGGACTGAGGATGAGGCTGAGGCGGGGGATGGGATTGGGATTGCGGTGAAGGGGCGGGGAGGAAGCTAGAGGCGGAGACGGAGCGCATGCGGTTGAGTCCGGAGGGAGCCGGTGGCTGCTGCATAGCAGCCTGTCGCGGGCCTTGTTCCTGGCCCTGTTCCTGGCCTTGGCCCAGCGCCTGAGGGTGCAGCTGCTGCTGCGGGTGGTGCTGCTGTTGTGGTTGCTGCAGTTGCTGCCACCGCGGCTGCTGCGGCAGGGGTGAAGGTAGCTGCTGGGGAGGCCAGCGAGGTAAGGTGCGGAGTGTGCCACCGCCCACCTGCTTTGACGCCAGCTGGGGCTGGTCCGTGTGCTGCTGCGGGTGCTGCGGGTAGTGCAGTGGGTACTGCTGGTGTGGGTGCTGCGGGTGTCGTTGGGAGTGAGCGGAGCCATCGTGGCCGCGTCTGGAGGTGGAGCGGTCGCCGGCGGCTGCATGGATGGCAGGAAGGGGCCAGGAGGAGGAGGAAGAGGCGTCAGGGAGGGGGCCACGAGGAGAGGTTGCAAGGGATACGGTACAAGGAAAGATCCGCCAGGTAACATGCAGCAGTTAGATCTGTCCAATGGACAGGGAACAACATGGGCAACGAACTTTCAGCCTGCTTGTCCTATCATATGCCATGCAAATCACTCCATGCAAGCTGAATTCGTGCGCAGAAATGAGCCTAAAGGGCAAGCACACCGTAAGGTACGACATCACGTAAACTCACCCAGCAGCCACGGCGGCGGAGGCATCACATATCCGCCCAACATGACCCCTCCCGCCAGGCCACCGTTGTTCCGCCGAGCCCGCACCGCCGGCGGCGCCATTCGCCACACCACCTGCGTGCCGCCATCCGTCGGCGGCAGAACTGCCCCACGGGACAACTCACCGACCCGTGGGTCACAACCCTCGGGCAGCACCGCTGCCCGTTTCGCCAAGCTGCTGCCGAAGAGCTGGTTGGGAGAGGGCGACCGTGGCGTGTAGGGTGCTACCGTACCGGAGCTCTGTGCTGCTTGCATGCGCTCCTGTTGCTGCTGCTGCTCACGCTGCTGCTGCAAGTTCTGCAGGGCGTTGGAGGAAGACGACAGGAATCGCCGGTGGTGCTGGAGGTTTCTAGGCAGCAGCATCTGGCGAGCGCTGCTTGGGGCGATCGCGTGGCTGCTGTTGCTGTGGTGCAGGGCGGCAGCGGGGCTGCCTGGCTGCTGCGGCTGCTGCTCCGGGAGCTGCTGGTCAGGCTGCAGCCGCAGCTGTGGGGACGAGGGCAGCAGAGGTTCACTAGCGGGCGCTGGAACGATCTCGGGTGAGCGTTCGGCTGGACTGAGCCGCAGGCGCTGGGATTGGGATTGCGAATGGGTTTCGGAGGGAAGAGAAGAGAGCGAACCGGCGCGTCGCAGGGAGGGCATTGCGGTCACGAGTCCGGTGCGGATGGTGGTACCTTCGCTTCCGTCCTCCTCCTGGTCGCCTAGGGGAACGTCTGCAGAGGCTAGGAGCAGACGGCCGCTGCCTTCAACAATGCCGTCATCTGCGGCAACAGAGGCATCGGCTGGATCCGACGGAGTCATGGAATGGCCCATGGGTCGCGAGGGTGATGGGAAGGTAGGCTTCTCGCTGTTAGGAGACGCAACCGCTGCGGCCGACGCGCCCAAAGCAGCAGCAATAGCAGCGGGCGACGAGGGCGGAGGCGGCAGCTCAGCCAGGGTGGCGGAGGCTGAGGGTTGCAGCCTAGGGGGTAGCGGCGGCAGCGGAGGGTGAGGGGCTGACAGCTGGAAGCGGGGGAACGAGAGCGGCTCCGAACGCTGGTGATGCAGGGACCGCTGTTGTTGTTGTTGCTGCTGCTGCTGTTGGTTAGAGTTGAGGTTTCTTGAAGTGTTGTTGGATAGCCGCTGATACGAGTGCGGGTGTTGTTGCTGTTGTTGCGTAATGGGGGAATGTGGGGTGAAGGCTGCGGAGGCAATCGAGCGACGTTGAAACCAGGAGGGCTGCGAACGTAACGTCTGGTTGTGATGCGTGCTGTGATGCTGTTGTTGGAGGTAGTGTTGTTGTTGCTGCTGCTGCTGCCCCACATGATGCCCGTGCGGCGAGGGTGTGGATGAGGGTGACAAGGAAGGCGGTGTTGTGGCGCCGCCACCACCACCAGCGGCAGGCGTCACGCCTCCATGCGGTGATCCCTGGTTGCTCCGGGGCCCCAGGTTGCTAGCGGAGGACCGCCGCCGGGCGGCATGGAAACCCGTCGGAAGCTGTGAGGGGCTGCTGCTGCTGCCGCCGCCCACGCCGCCCGGGCTGCCACCACCGCCGGCCGCCAAGCCGGCGAAGGCGCTCGAGGTCGGCGCTGAGCCGTACACTGTGCTTGCAAGCGAGGTAGCGCGAGGTCCCGGAGATGCAGCTGCAGCTGCATGGGTTATTGTGGCGGCTGCGGTAGGTGCGGCGCTGCTACTGCTGGCGGCGGCGGCTGACGCCGCCGCCGCTCCCGTCGATAGGACAACTCCACCGCCGCCTCCGCTGATGGGGTCGTACTGTGACGTCGTACTGTTGAACATGACGCGATCTTGAGGTACGAGCACAGAATCCATGCGACTGCTGACGTCGCCAGTGGACAGGCGGTACGAATGCGGTCGAGACGTACGATACGTGCCCGCACTGACCCGTGGGTCACCCGACTGCGCGGAGGCGCGCGACGACAGCTCAAACTCCATCTCCCTCGACGCGGTCATCACGTTCGACATCCCCGACACGCCTGCTGCGGCCAGCTTTGCGAGAGGGAAGGAGGAGAAGTCCGCTGCGCTGCTGCGGCCATCCACATCAGCAGCCGCGACAGTTACCGTTGACAACAGACCTGACATGGCAACCGTCGCCTCGTCTGCTGGCGCCGGAACCGCTGCTGTCGTACCCGCCTCCGTCACCCCAGGCGCCGTGGCTGTGGAGGGCTCCCGAGAGGGCATGGCCAGTCGGCTTCTCGACGCTGTCGTGGCGCTGCCCATACCGAGGAGACTCGCCCCGCGCGGCGACTGAGTCGCGGAGCCCGTCGCCGCCGTCATTGACGTGTCGTACGGTGTCACCGACGCCGCGGCGCTCAAGCCGCGAGACCTCAGCCCCCAATGCTCCACGTCACTCCCGTCGGAAGGATTGGAGGAATTCGCAGCAGAGGTGCTCGTACCGCAACCATGCGTCGACGTCGCTCCCCAGCCGCCGCCGCCGCCGCTCAGCGCCGCGGGAAGTCCTACAATCGATCGGCCCTCGCGATGAGGCGGTACGACAGCGACTGAACCGCCGCCGCTGCCGCCAGCGCTGCCGCCGCCACTGCGCGAGCCGTACGGCACCAACGTTGGCGTCCCCCGTGGCTGTCCCCAGTCCTCCAGCTCCGCCCTTGCAAGGCGGTCCAGTGGTGCCGTACTCGCAGCAGCAGCGGCAGCGTCCACCGGCGGCAGCGGCCCCGGCTCACTCATGCGCTGTCCCGCGGCCAATTCCACCTGCACTCCCGAGCCCCGCGCGGCTGCCATGATACCACTGACGCGACCGCTGACCACACCCGCGATGGTGCTACGAGGCGATAGCAACGCAGCGATGCCACTGCCGCTGAGGTAACCTCCGCCTCCGCCGCCGCCGTTGCCGGTGTGTCGATGGTGCACGGAGACGCTTTGCTGCCGCTGTTGCTGTTGCTGGGCGGCAAAGTAGCCGTCTGTGGTGAGGGTGCCACCGCCGCCGCCGCCGCCGGTGCCGCCTGTGAGGGTGGTGGTGGGGATCTGCTCACACTGCATGTACTCCAGCAGGTCGCCGCCGCCGCTGACCAGCAGGCGGTGCATGGAGCCGGAGATGAGGGTCTGCAGGGCGAGGGTGACCCATGGGTCGGCAACTCGGTATGGGGCGCGAGGAAACAGGGCAATGCAATAGTACACTGGTATTGGATCCTTTTCAACACGAACCTATGAAGTACGTCCCACCTCACCTGACCCATCTTGGCTTGCCGCAGCATGCGATGCAGCTGCTTCCAGGGCTTCCCGTTGCATGTACTGCGGTACAACTGTACGGCACGTGTCACATTGAGATCCAGTCGCACATCGTTAAACCACTCGGCGGCGCACCGCACTCGCAGCCCGTTATGCACCAGCTGCGTGGCCACCACACCGTCGGGACCCGGTGGCAGCACACAGCAGATCTCCTCACCCAGCTCGTGCTCCAGGAGGGGGGCGGGCCAGGGTACGGCACTCTTCAGGTCGTCTTCCAGCGTCAGCAGACTCGTCACGGCGGGGTACTGCGGAAGGGAGGGAGAGGGCATTGAAGGAAGGCGACAGCAGGCGGTTAAGTAGCAAAGAATGGAGGTGCCGGTAATGCAATAGATGCATATAGATGGCTTGTGTGCATCAAGGACGCTCCCATGCGTCATTCCCCGCCTCCCCAGAGCAAGCAGAACCCCCTACCACTACACCCATGCAACCATGTAACCACGCTTCCATGCTGTAAAGCACCGCCCCCGCCCCCCTCCGCGCCCCCCTCACCGCCCTCGTGAAAGCCGCCACCGCCGCCCCCCCCTCCAGGTCCACCAGGGTGCCCCCCTGCTCCGCCACCACCTCCGCCGCCTGCCAGCGGAACGCCTCCAGCGCCTCCTCCGCCACTCCCAGGTTCCAGCAGCGCAGCACCTCCACACCCACCACCTGCACATGCACGCGCGTGAACCAGGGTGCGGTCGTCGCAAGTGGGTCGAGAAACCAGATGCAGCATGCATCACGTCGGAAACGCAGGTCGCTTGTCCGTAAGCAGCATCAGAAAGGATCTGTTGACGCAGCAACTCGTGGTGAAGCACCGCTGGGCCGCTGCCTCCTGCGCCTTTCCACACCCGCCCACCGGTACACAGCTACGACAGTTCCCCCTCCTCCCCGCACCCACCTGGCATGCAGCCAGCGCCACCGGCCCCACCGGTGCCTCCAGCAGTCCCGGCATCAGCGCCGCCACCACCCGCAGCGGCACTCCGCGGAAGGCCTGCAGCCGCGGCAGCAGCGCCGGCAGCAGCGCCTGGTATACGTCCAGGCTGAGGCAGCCGTCCTTGTCACCCAGACGAAACCTGCGGGGGAGGGTGACAGGGAGGTTACGTTGCATGGGGGGTTGTTGAGTGTTGGAGTGAGGGTTTGTGGAGGTTTGCGGGGGGCTTGTGGCGGGTTGCAACTCGCAGTTTCCAGGGCGTTGGGTTCACCCGGCAACTGTGATGTGCGTGAAACATGCTGGAGCCTTGTCGTCACAATCAGAGCTGTTAGTTAGGGCTCCACACCCACACCCACACCCACACCCGACCTCCAACCGCCTCACCTGCCCGCATGCCACACCAGTGTGCCCGCGGGTAGCTTCTCATTGGGCAGCGGCTGCAGCCTCTGCAATGTGGCGGCCGACAGCACCACCATACCCCCCAACGCCGCGTCCGACAGCAGGCGCGCGTTCCGCATGGCGGAGCCGCTGTAGGCGCGCCGGCCGCTGCGTTTGGTCCAGCACACGTCGCAGCCGGGCTCCAGGCCTGAGTGGAGGCCCACACGCACACGCAGGCCCCTGCAGCGGAAGCGGAACACAGTGCAGCGGTGTAAGCTGTGTGAAGGCCGCGGCAGCTTACGACACCAGCACCAACAGCAGCAGCACCAGCAGCAGCACCAGCACCCCGACCAGCCGCCAGCGCCCTCGCCTCACCTGAACAGCAGCACCTGCCCCGCTCCGCCCTCCGGCCGCGAAGCCCCGCTGGTGTGACTAGTCATCCGCCGCCGCGACCCCAGCCTCGCCAGCATGCCCGTAGCCACCCGGCTGCATCCCGAGGACGCCGCCAGCACCGACACCGCCCCCGACAGAGCACCGCTGCATGCAGCGGAAGCCATGGACACAGCCGCTGAAGAAGACACACCCGCACTTGGGCTGTTGTTGCCCGCCCATGCATGCTGCGAGCCCAAGCCACGAGCCAGCCACCAGCTCTCGCGGCGCCATAACCGCGAGGGGTTGGCTCGCAGCGGCTGAGGCGGTGTGGAACGCGCCTGTGCCTCTTCCTCTTCCGGCTCTTCTGGGCCCTTTTCGGTGGGGGAGGGGGCTTCCTCCTCACGTAACCCCCCGGGTGCCGGCTGAGAGGTATGGGAGACGGCCCCACCGCCACCTACGATGCTGCCGATCGGGAGCAGCAGCGGGGAGGTCGCGACGGCGAGTGGCGGCGGCGGGCGCAGAGAGGGGCCGCGTGTGGACAGGGCGCGGCCTGCCACTGCGGGATGGTTTCCATTGCTGTGGCTGTGGCTCTGGCTCAAGGTGCGGCTGTTGGTTTGACTCAGCGTGCGGCTCTGGCTGAAGCTCTGAGTGCCCCCACCTTGCTGTTGCTGCTGCTGCTGTTGTTGCTGATGTGGCATCTGTTCCTGGTTTCGCAGCTGCTGCTGCTGGGCGAGGTGCACGCGGTTCTTGTTCGCATGTCGTTGCCCAGGGAGCCCATCCTGGCTGCCAGCAACTTGCGGGGAGGAGTGCGGCTCCGCAGCCGCCGTCTCCCCCAGACCACTGCCCCCGACCAAGACCCGTGGACTGGGGTACGGACTGCCGGGCTGCCCCCCAGAGGGAACGAAAGCCCGCAGCGGACTAGGCTCTGATTTGAAGGATGCATGGGAGTGCTGAGCTCGCAGCAGCAGGCTGCGCTGCCGCAGGATGCCGGGAGCCTCCGGCCCAACCCAACTGGGACTGCGCGGCAGTCGCGACTGCTCATCTCCCCGACCACTGCCGTACACTGCGTTGCTGTACATGTACGGAATCTTGCCTCTGGCAGGTGGGGGAGCTGCTGCGGCTCCGGCGGCGGTGGAAAGGCCGGGCGGGCCAACAGCGGTGGCGGCGGCGGCTTGCTGGTAGTACGGCAGATGCTCCCGATCTGAGCCCTGCCTGACTGCTGCTGCTGCGGTTGCGGAGTTGTGCGGTAGCGGCCCAGCGGTGGCAGCTGAAGTCGGCGCCGTTGCTGACAGAAGCGCAGCAGTCAAGGAGGTGTCAGGTGACAGCGTGCCTTGCACCCCTGAGCTGTAACGCGGAGAAATGGGCCCTGTGGTTGCTGAAAGTGCGCCTGCTGCGGCATGTCGCATGGACCATGTTAAGGGCCCGGAGCCGACGTAGCAGCCCCCCTGTTGTTGCTGTTGGGGCTGCTGCTGAGACTGAGACTGGGACTGAGACTGGGATGTGGGGTGAGATTGAGCACCGGGAGCAGGGCCTGCCTGGCTGTTCTGTCGGGACACGTCAGGCGCGTCGCGCTGGCTTTGGTGGGCTACAGCGATGCGGTGCCCGAGTGCGTTGGTGCTGGCGGCGCGGAGGGTCTCGTACAGGAGCGCGGTGGCGAAGGAGCGAGCAACCTGCGCAGAGGCAGAACCTCAGAAGCAGGACGATGCTGAGCAAAAGCGGGTTGTGCTCAACAAATGGTTGCATGCTGGGCGACCGGCTAGATGCCTAAGAACGGACGCATGCACGCATGCATGCGTGATGCATCCCCTCACAGCAGACCTCTTACTGCGCAACCTCACCTTGTTATTGTTCTTGAAGAACCCTCGCCTCGGGAATCGCTCCTTAGACGGCCGGTCCGAGCCGCCCTTGCCAGCAGCCCCCGCATGGCCGCCACCATGAGAACCCCGACACGCAAACACCGTGTTGCTGCCGCTGCCCACACCACCCACACCGCCCTCGCCCTCCTCGTCCTCGCAGATGTCCGGGAAGTCGCTCCCATGCACCTGAGACCCCGCGCACGTGACAATGGGGATGCGCGCATGGCCGCTGTTGCCGCCGCCGCCGCTAGCGGCAGCCGCACCACCGCCCATCAACACCAAACGCGCACTGTTCAGGGAGCCGGATAAGCGGCGTGAAAAACTCCGGAGAGCTCCGCTAAGGGAGGCACTGCCACCACCACCACCGCCGCCAGCCTCCGTCACAGCTCCCATGCCGCCGCTGGGCTGTCTGTTGAAGTACTCCCCGCCGTGCGCACTGCCGCTGGGCTGGTGCGCTAGCATGCGGGAGGAGGTACCTCCGGGGTGCGGCCCGCCTGCCAGGCTCCGAGACGAGGCCGATGCAACAACACCCGCATCCACTGCATCCTCTGTGGTAGCAGCAGTCGCCCCCGCCGCCGCCGCAGCAGCAGCAGCACTAGTCAACGCCGTCATCGTTGTCGTCGTCTTGGAGGTAACCGGATGGCCCAGACTGGAGCGCAGCAGCGCTCCGCGGCCGCTAGCGACGCTGATCATCGCTCGCTGCGCTGGGGACAGCATCATGACAGCTGCCGGCAGGGACGGCAGTGGCAGCGGCAGTGTGGGAGCCGCCTCCTCCTGCTCGTCTTCCTCGCCCCGTCGCTGCTCCTGCTGCTGATGGTGATGCTGTTGTTGCTGCTGGAATGCCATGTGAGGAGGTGGTGGTGTAATGCCTGCCTGCCAAACGACACCAGCAGCGGCGTCACCGCTGTTGAAAGGCGATCCAAGAGGATCGCAACCAATGCGTGGCGCATGTGTGAAGCTCCCGCCGGCAATCCGGACCGCCGCAGCGGCCGCACCCCGCAGGCCTGCCCCCTCACCCGCCCTGGACGTCAGCCCAGCCGCTAGGTCCAGCATACCACCGTCACTAACGCCCGCCTCCGCTACACCTACCGCCGACGGCGCATGACCAGCGGAAAGCACATTGCCGACGAACGTCGCCGCGATGCTCCCGCTGGCAGTGCCGCCGCCGCCTCCGAAACCGCTTCCGACGCTGCCATGAGCTGCCGGGGAGGAGGCCGCACTGTGGGCGACCTCATGCGGCACCGCGCCGAGCTCCGAAGCTGCAGCTGTGCCCATTCGCAATACTTGCGGCACTGCCTCGGTGCTGTGGATGCGAGAACGGCGCAGCAAGGCGCGCGAAGACACGGCACGGAAGGCCAGGCTGATGCTGCTGCCGTGCGCGTTATGCATGTCCACCGCCGTCGCCGTCATGGAAGATGAGGTGGAGGGCGCGTCGGGTTGTCGCTGTCGCTGCTGCTGCTCGTGCGTCCTTGCGCTTCCACCATTGCCATCATCATCGCGCTTGCTGCCCTCGTCTCCTCCCGCTTCCTCCTGCGTCCTGTCCGCATGCCGTACAACACCCTCCGGACCCTCCGACCCCTCATCTTGCCCGTCCGTCTCGTTGTCGCAGTCCAGGCTTTCCTCCTCCGTATCCGCACCGCTATCCAGCCCTCCCACCACGATCGGAAACTCGCCGCTAACGGTGATGTTTGGACTCTGGGATATGAGCGCCGCCGCTGCACGACCTCCATGGATCGAGTGGCAATCAGAATCCGCATCTGTACCACCATGTCCCAGCCGTACCGCTGCCTTGGCCATCACACTCACAAAGCTCCCGGCGGCCGAGGTGAAACTCCCGCCACGAGTGGCGTCTCGGTCGTCGCGAGCCGGCGTCGCCGCCGCCGCAGCTGTCACCGCCGCAAGCATCATGTGGCCGTCGAAAGAGCGACTGCAGCCGCGACGCAACGGATGGCGACTGTCGCGACCGACGGAGGCGCTGCGCGGCTCAACGACTGTGCCCATGCCGTTCGCAGTAACGGAAACGGAGGCGCGGCCGTTGGGGATGCCATGTGCGTCGGCGTCGAATGTCAGCGGCGGCGACATCTGGGGCTGTGCGGAGGCCCAGGTTCGAACCGGGGAGCTGGTGTTGCCGCCGTTGGCTGCGAGCGCGAAGCGACTGACGCTGCGTGAGGGTACGGCAATGACGCTGTTGCCTCTGGGCAGAAGCATCTCACCCACACCGCCGGTACCTGTCAGGAGCCAGTCGGGGGCGGCTGGCGGCGACGTCAGCATGCCGCCGGCGCCAGCAACGCCGCTCGGGTTGGCGGCGGCGGCGGCGGAGGTAATGCCCAGTGTGGACCGACGGCGGTAGGAGCCGCCAATGGTCAACGCCGGGCCCGGCTGACGCTGCGGAGACGGCGACAGCTGGGGCGTGTTTTGTTGCTGCGTTATGGGTGATGCGGAGGCGGCATGGCGGTTTGAGCTGGGGGCGTTTCGGAGCCTCGGCATGGCGGGCATGGAGGGACGCCGACCTATCACGGCCGGGTGGATGGCGTTCGCCGGGGACATGGATGCAGAGCGATGAAAGGAGATCCCAGCGCCGTCGTTAGCCCTGGATTCCGTGTTACGAGGGCTGCCGCCGCTGGTAGCGCTGTGACTTGACATGGTGCGATGCGCAACGTTGACCAAAGCGAGGTGCGCCCCGGTCTTGCGACCATGACCCGTGCCGCCACCGCCACCGCTGTCGCCTCCTTGACCCTGATTGGCCCGTAAGCTGTTGCTAGGCTTCTGCGGTTCTGCTGTTGTGCCTGAGGCCACGGCGACGCTGCCCTTTCCCTCGCAGCCGCTAACGTTGCCACTGCTAGGGCTAGCCGCACCCGCCGCCTCGGCAGCAGCAGCACCGCCGCTGCTGCGGCCCCCGCCTGACGTCGCTAGCATCCTCGCAAAGGCTGCTTCCCCAAGGCTCTGCACGCCGCGCTTCCTCAGCCCTCCAACCAGCTCGCCTGGCTGCACCGCGACCGGCTGCTGCTGCTGCTGCTGACACGACAACGGCACCGCCATGCCACCCGCCGCCGCGGTTGGCTCCGCTAACGACAGCTTCTGTACGGCACCATGATGCGACCTGTCCGCCTGCATCCCGCCACCGCCCGTAATGTGCGTCAGCAACGCATAGCTCCCAGCCCGCCTCGGCGGCTGCTGCGCCGTATGCCAGGACGACGGTCGCCGCAGAAAGCTCTGAGTTTCAGATCCCGCAAGCACCGAGCCCAGCCCTGCACCGTACCCAGCAGAAGCCGCGTCGCCTGCTGCCGTGGCAAGGCTGAGGGCGGTGAGGTTCTGGCTGGGCGGCGTGGTGCGTGGGCTGACTTCGGAGATGGGGTGTGACCCGTGGGTCATGGCCTGCGCGGAGGCGGAGGAGGCGGCTGCGGCGGCCGCGGCTGCTGCCTTGGTGGTCAGGAAGACCTCCGCGGCTGAGGGGTGCTCCAGCAGCTGAGTGGGCCAGTCTAGGTCCATGAGGGCAGTCTGGGTGGGGGTTGTGGAGAAGAGGGGGTTGCGGAGGAATGGGGGTTGCGGCAATACCTTCGAATACGGTACCTTCAGAACTTTGGGAGCCGGAGGGGAGTGCGCGTTTGTGTGCATGGCGGGGTTCCACTCCAATGAATGCAAGTGTGCATGGCGGTTCATGACAGAAGGCAATTTGAACAAGGCAGCCCGGTCCCCGTCCTGTCCTGGGCCCCCCCCTCACCCTACCTGCAGCTCCAGGGCAAAGCTGGTGGCATCCGCAGCGGAGAAGAACGCCAGCGTGAAGGAGTCACCTGCGGCAGCCCAGCAGCAGCAGCAAGAGGAAGTGGTGAAGCGACATGAGTAGACGCTTTAAGCTCGAAAGCAAGGGGATTACCCTGTCAAAACACTCGGCCAAGCGTTCATGCAATGCATCCTCTCCCAACACCTCTGCATCTCTGCATACACGGCCGTAAAGTTCCACACACGTTTATGAAGCTCTTCCCCACACACGCAAGCTGCTCCACTTGGAACCCCACCCCCACCACACAGTCAGTCAGTTAGTTAGTCCCTCAGTCAGTTAGTTGTTTCCTCTTTACCCACCACACAGTACCCACCCTCCGTGTGAGTCTCATACCCCCGGTAGCGCCGTACAAGCTGCCGTACACAGTGGTTGTGAAGATCCAGTGACAGATCCATAACCGCCTCCGGAACCGTCTCCCACAGCACCGTACTGTCCTGGATGTCCGTCACGACCAGGGTGGTCTGCGGCCCGTACCCAGGCATCTGCGCGGCCCCGCTGCGGCGGCGCCGAACACCGCGCAACAGCAGTACCTTCCCCTTGGTGGAGGCGGAGGCCAGGGCAAGCAGCGCGGAGAGCGTTGCAAGCGCCGCCACAACGCCCGCGGCTATGCCTGGGCGGGTGAACCATGGGTCATGCGAAAGCGATTTGGACCCTGCCGCCATCACTGCATTACCAGTAATAAGTCTAATAACCAGCTGGCCCAACCAAAGGTGCGCACTTACAACACTGCTTAAACATGACACACAGCTCGGACAACGCGCGCAAACAAGCGCGGACCCCTGCCATGGCGAGCAACACCGAGCTCACCTACGCTGACTTGAACCCGGGGCTTCCCGGACGTGCTTGTGGTGTTCAGAAGCAGCTCCCCTGGACAGGAACAGTACCGGGCAGGTGAACCGTGTCTTCCGTTCAGGATATATACGGTACTGCACCAAGACCGTAACTTTCGCACAACAGGCAAGGGCATTGGCATGTATCTTAAGCTCTGCACATAACGCAATCAACCGCACAAATGATGTCGTACCGCCCTTTCCTCCGAGCTCAGCTCCTATGCCACTCACCACTGCCCAGCACCGCACCAATGCTGTTCAGGTAGCTTTGACGGATCGCGATGAAGCCGCCGTACTTCTGCTTGAAGGCCGCTGTGGCGTTCGCTTTCAACGCCTGTTGTCGCCAAGAAAGGGAAGGGCTGTTGCATCTGAAAAAGGTACAGGCTTATTTCAACGGTGGAAAAACAAACACGCGAATGTTGGCTGCATATAGAGCAGCCCGTCCCTCCTCCATCCCTAGCCTCCTGCGTATCTTCCTCTTTAACCTTCGCGGCTCAGTATCGAGAAATGGGTTTGAAACTGTCCGCATCGCACCTTGCCGCCGACCGCGGCAGGGGTTGCCTCGGCAGTGCACGCAGATCGTTTATCCTCATCGCCGCAATTTTCCTTGCAACCCTGAACACCCCACCCTCAGTGTTTCCGCGGTTCAGTTTATCCAATACCCCGCCCTTACTCCTCGAAGGCCGCACCCCCTCATCCGCATATACCAGCTCTTCCATGCACTGCCTCAACCAACCCACTGACCCGCCCACACCATCCCTGTTCCCTGACCTGCATTGGCAAGCCAGGCCCACCAATGGAGCCCATGGCCTCGGTAAGTGTTCTATCGCGGCTTACCTGCTGCACCATGCGTACCTCCAACCCAACCCAGACCCGCACAGCCCATGCAAGGTCACCACCACCATACACCCCCCCCCACCGCACCTGCACCACGACCGCGGGATCCGGCCCATCCTGCGCCGCCGCCTCCGCCGCTGCCGCACCAAACAACTCAACCAGCAGCTCTCCGCCCAGGAAACCGGCTGCCGGCACCGCATTGCGGTGTGCCAACACGGCCCGCAGCACCCCCAGGTACTCCGCCACGTCCCCCGGGTGCCAGCCGGCGGCCACCCAAGCCGGAACCGCGGCGGCCGCCAAGTGCTGGTAACGCACCGGCGATGCGGAGACCCATGGGTCGCTCACGCGGTCCCATGCCGCCTGGGGTGACACGACCCAAGTCACCGCCCTCCAGGCTGCTAGCAGGGTTGCCGCGTTGGAGGCAGGATTGAGGGCCAGGTAGAAGGGACCCCGGCCGGGATGCGGTGCACGATTCACCCAGAGCTGTTGCTGTTGCTGCAGGGTGCTGTTCCCGGCCTCGGCCCCGTCGCTGCTGCTGCTGCTGTCAGGAGTGCTGCTGCCTCCGTCGCTGTTGTCGAGGAGGAGCTCCGCAAAGGGACACAGCTCCAGAGTGCAGTTCCGCATCTGCCGGCTCACCGGATCCTCCACCACAGTGCTGCCGGGCAGGAGCACCGTTCCGGTGGCGCCCCACACAGCGCTGCCGCTGCTGCTGCCACTGCCACTGCTGCTGCTTGGGTCCAGGGCCGGCAAGCCCAGCAACCGAACCACCGAGCTGCCCGCGATGCCCATGGCACAGGTGCTCCGGGCAGTGGCAAAGTCCAGGCGACTGCAGGGCCCAGCGGGGGAGCCCAGCTGCGATAGCTCCCTGGTAGGAACCGGGCCGGCCGGAACGGGGACGCCAAGGCAAGAAAGGTCACACAGGTAGTCAGGCAACAGGCAAACATCCATCCATCAACCCATGAGGGTTAATGGCTGGGGCTGCCCGAGGAGCAATCCTGACACATCACCCACCGCACCGTACTGACAGGTCAGCCTCCCCAAGGCGCCCAATCTCTAGCACCTCAATTGGGCGCTCAACGCCACGCAAGTACCGGAAGCAGCTCACCTGTACAGCCGTACGGCCTCCTGCATGGCCGGTCCGTCAAACCGCGGTGCCATGCTCCTGGGCTCAAAGTACAGCCCAGCTCGAGGACCCGCCAGCGCTGTCATGGAGGCCCAGACAGCCGCCAGGAGCGCCCCGTCGTTCGAGCAGCCGGGGGGCAGCAGCAGACAGAAGCCCCGGCCGTAGCAGCCCAGGGACGGATCCGCAGCAGTACTACTACTGCTACTACTCCCATTCCCGGTTGAGGCCAGGCTGCCGCCGCTGCTGCTGCTGCTGCTCGTGCTACCGCCGCTGCTGCTGCTGCTGCTCGTGCTACCGCCACCGCTGCTGCTGCTGCTCGTGCTACCGCCACCGCTGCTGCTGCTGCTCGTGCTACCGCCACTGCTGCTGCATGACACCTGGGAGGTGTTGAGCTCCCGGGCAGTTGCGAGCAGCTCGCTCCATGTTTGCGGCACTGCCCGCCCGACAGCTCGCAGCGCATCCCTATCGTTGGGGCGTAGGACGTAGTTGACACGTCGGACACAAACGTGGGAGCATGACTGACTACCGGAGTACCCCAGAACGACTACAAGATCAACACGAGCGTGAACCATACACCGGAAGGGAAGTTCATACGGTAATGCCAGGTAGTGATGCCTACCTGCGGTAGAACAGCAGCGGGGGGTCTATGTCGTACGGCACCCCGATAACGCGGCCGCTGAAGACAGCCGTACTTCGCAACCCCGCATCCAGATCCGCCCAACTTAGGCGCGAATCGCCGGCTGCGGGCAGCGCCAGATCTACCGTGGAGGCTGCCTGGGAGGCCAGGAAGGCGAGCTGCGGAGGACTTACAGCCCAGGCCGCCGCCTGGGGTAATCCCGCACCGCCGCCCGTAGTGCTTAGCCGCTGCTCCCATTCGTCTAGGGCGGTGTGCGATACCTCTGCGAGGAGTGGGGTGAAAAGATTACCAGACCACAAGCGAGGGCAGGACAATGAGGGTAGGCGGCGGCAGGGCGCCGCAAAACAAGGGAGTGGGGCTCTGTACCCGTCAGTGTTAGCAGAGCGCTGTGCAGGTGGTGAGTGGTGGCTGGGATGTCGTCCTAGCGTGGCATGCGGAGTGTGGACAAGGCTTCGCCGCACTGTCCCAAGGTACTGCTCCAACACGGGCTGCCCTTGCTTACCGGGGTTAGAAAGCCCGGCTTCCAGGGCATATTGGGCGGCGTAGCTGGCAAGGGGGCAACATGACTGGTTGCCAGAGGCGACGGGGACACAGTTGTCAAAAAGCGACAGGGACAACGTCGTCTGCAATGGGGCGGAGGATGAGGAGTAAGGAGTGCTGCTTTGGATAGGGTATACTCAGGAGGAGACAAGATAAACGATGTGACATACTGCTTCACGTTATGGCGATATGCGGGATTGATGGACATAATGAATGGATCAGGGCCAGTCGCAGTTTGTAGGAGGCCATGAGGCTTTGTCAGCTTGTACGCACCACATTGACCGCATGGCTTTCTTGCGCTGCACAATAGGCGATACGATCGGCTCCTGTGCCTTTGTACGTCGACACACTTTCCCTGCAACGGAAGACACCAGCACCTTGTTGGGATGCGTAAGCGTGGCAAAGGAGTGATAAAAAGGAAGTGAGCTCACCGTCCGCAGCTGTTATTCGAGTTTATTGCTGTTAATACGCAAATGGCAACGCTGTCCTGCTTCGTGGTATCCGATTGTGCAAGCAACCATCGGCAGCTGAGCGTAAGCAAAAATAAGAGCAATATTGCCACATTTTGGGTCATCATGTGTAAGCTGTAAGTAGGCCATGCCTCTTCCACTTCAGTCAAGGCGCAGTATGGGAGCAGCAAGTCCCCAAGGAGGTTTCAGGTTGCGGTAATATCCATCAGTAACATTGTAATCATAGTTTTTCGAGTTTCGCCTGATACCTGTAAGTGTACGCAAACAGATTTGCTGGGAGAAACGGGCAAACAGCCTGTGGGGGTACGGCATTTGCAGGACACCAACTTGCACGTAAGACCCAATGAACGAACATCCTATAGACATTTGCCAAGACATACCTAAATGGTGTCGAAATGGTAATATAATAAGTGTATGCGGAGCTTTTTAGGCAATATGCAGGTCTGCTGTTCGTTGCTGAGCTTAATTTTGGCCGTAGCATTTCTGAACGCCTGAAACTACGTGGACAGCCTGCATAGTGTTCCTGTGTGTGTTATGCGTGTTCCACCGCTGCTGAGCGTAGCGCTAGAAGAGCGCGCGCCTCGGTATCCCGCCGAGCTGGTTGCCTACCGTATCCAGTGCCGAAACCGATCCCGGCAACTTCGTCATCCTCGGTCAAATCTTCTGCGCCAAGCCGACGACGACACAAGTTGATGTCAACTTGCCCGTAAACGGCGCGCGGCTGGCTTATTTACCAGCTCTAGCTACTAGCTAGGGCTGGTACCGAATGGCCGCACAGAACGTAAACAACTCGTCACATTTGGCCACCAACACGGTGACTGTAAAGCATGCATGATACAAAGCGTGGGAGAGAAGTGTTTGCGGTCACCGCACGGTTAGTTCGTTACAGTCGGTGGCTTTGTCGTACAGCCAGCCTCCTACCCGCTCCTGATAAGGCTACCCAGTCCTTACCAAAGCCCCAACCATCAAGGCCCCCTGGCGCCGCGCGGATGAACCCGTCACAGCGCTCGGCAACCTTCTCGCGGCAGCAGACATGTCCATTCTACCTCCCAGCCGCAAAAGCCGTACGCATGACCAACGCACAGCGTCCCAGCGGAGTTTGCACAGAGCGGCGTGTGGACGCAGCGGAGTTTGGACCGAGCCCTGCAGCCCTCAAGCGCGCATCATGGGGCTGCGTGAGGGCTGCTGGCCGCCGCGCCCCGCCGTGTTGTTGGAACTGGAGGCGGCCGCGTTGACTGCGGCCTTCAATTCCGAAAAGGCGCTCTCCAAGCAGCGCTGCAGCGGCATCAGGCATGAGGGAGGGCATTTGTTGGATGGCAAGCGGCATGGGGGAGGAGGTCTGTTGGATGCAGTGGTGGTACCGATAGTGGAACACTCTCCCCCCCACCCCCGTCCCCCCGCCACCGCATGGCACGCTACTCCTTCTACGGTACTTTCCCCAATCCCGCCGCCTCACCTTTACGTCCGCGTACGTGACCACTAGCATGGACTGCCCGTCCCGGCTCAGCAGCAGCAGCTCCTCGTGCACCCCGGCGTCCAGCTGCAGGGGCCGGGGGGTGCCGGGTGCACGATGTGGGCGCGGGGAAGAGGAAACACTATTACACTACCGGTAACCATGTGACAGGTTCTGGTGCGGGCCGGAGTGGGTACTACATGTGTACCAGTTCGGTGCTGTGGAGGTCCACGCAACGCGCACCATGTTCAGCATGTGCATGCGGTCTACGGATGGCTTGTTTTCCCCTACCCCTGCTGATCCCTGCTGGCCAAAATCCAACCCATGTTAAAGTTGTTAACCCCGCCCCTGCCCGGCCCACCCCCACCTTATTGAGTGCCTCCGCCACCAGCCCCCAGTCCAGCAGCGGTGCGCCGCTGTCGGGGGCGGCCGCGTGGAACACGAAGTCGCGGAAGAGCTTCAGCACGTAGCGGTCGCCCGTCTCAGACCAGGAGGAGTCCTGCGGGGCAGGCAGACGAACCGGCTTAGTTTGCTTACATGGGGGCAGGTTGACTACAAGGGGCAGGTTGACTACGTAACTCCCGACACGGCCCGACACCGTGTCAGGCGGCACTGCTTACACACACGCGAGAGTGCGGTGCAGCACACAACGGTCCCGCAGGGCCTTGCATGGCACGTATTACCAGCGCCACATACCGTACTTTCCACCGCCTAAGCAAGCAACTGTGGCCTCATTCCCAGGAAGCCACGTGCAGTCAGAGGACCCCGCCGGCCGCCTGTACCCCACGCAGGTTCACTCACCCCGTCCTGCCCGTTGCCGCCGTCCGCGGGGCGCTCGGTGACGAAGTTGATCTTGGCCAGCAGCCGCAGCAGCCGCCCGTTCTCAGCCTCCTTGGCCAGCTCGCCAACCTGTGTATGTGACCCGCATGCGGGGGAGGGGGGGGGGGTAAAGAGGCGCTAACCACTAACCAACCGTGTGATAAGGGTTCATCGTGGTTTGCTTCATCATGCGGGAGGGGCCCAAGGCGGAGGGTCCATGCCACACTTTTATAAACTTGGTGGCCGCCTACCCAGAGCACACAACCCTTGCTGCTCCTGTTTGTAAGCACCGTGCGGTATCCGCGACAGGATGACCCCACCTGCGCGCCTAATACCCCATGGTACCCTCGTAAGCAGGACAAGGGTGCAAGACAAAACGAAGACCCCAGCATGTCCATCGCACCAGCAGCAGCAGCAGCGGCAGCTGGTAATGCTCCCTGCGTCTGCCCCTTCCCCCCCGGGACTCACCGTGTGATCCAACGCCACTCCCGCGCCGTCCAGCTCCGTGAATGCCCGGTCCGCCAGCGCCGCCACCAGCCCCCGCCAGCTGCCCAGCGGGCCTCCCTCCGCAGCAGCCAGCAGCGCCCCCAGCAGCCGCACCAGCTCCGGCGAGTAGTGCGCGGCTACCAGGTCCAGGGAGGGAGCGGGACCCGCGCCGGCGCAGCACAACGTCAGCAGCAGGCTGCCCATGGCCTGTGGCGTGGGATGAAGGCCCGTTATGGAAGCGGGCGGGAAAAGAAGAAGCATGGGTGGATGGATGGGGATGGATGGGTAGTGGGTGCTGGTGCCGCTACGCGGGATAGGAGGATACCACAAGGAACAATGTCCACAGTAGGGGTAACGGAACCCTCACGACCCAGATCCCCACACGCGGAGCTTGTTCACCAGCGCCTCCCTCGCGCCCCTTGCATGCCGCGCGCCCCCTTCCCTATCACGCTCCTTCTTGCCCTCCCTGCTCCCGCCCGCGCCTGTTCAGGCACCCACCGAGATGTCCTGCCGCATGAGCATCTGCAGCTCCTCAGGCCCCGGCTGGTCTCCACCCATCATGGCGTCCACGATGCCCACGCTGCCAACCCGCAGCCGACCGAACCCCGCCAACAGCACCTTGGACGGGTGCAGGCAGGCAGGCCGCAGCAGCAACCCGCAGCCGTGCGCCGCCCGGAGCGCCGAGGTGATCTGCACCGCGTAGCTCCAAATGACCTCCTCCGGCGGCGGCTGCGGAGCCGACACCAGCCCAGCTGCGGACATCTGCGCGGGTGCGAGAGCGCCAGGGAAGAGCAGTTTGCAGCTTTGCCCTTACCCCACAACTTTTTACAGCACCCGCAACAAGAACAGACCAAGGCGACAGTGCAAGCCTACCGGCAGCTACCGCTGGGGTAGACCTCCATCCAGCCTTCTTTCTTGGAAGGGCAAGGACAGGGAGCCAGGGACAAGGACAGGGCACGTCCTTCCTTGCCCTTAACTCCCCCCTTCTCAGCCCTTCTTCTCCGGCCGCTTACCTGGGGCACCAGATGTGCTGCGGCCAGCGTCATGGCCCCGGGGTAGAAGTCATGCGCGAACACGAGCGCACTCACGCCGTCGCCGCCGCCCTGCTGCCCCGGCTGCTGCGGCGGCTGGGTGAGGCTGTCGGAGGCGATGAAGGCGGCGCGGAGCCCCACCAGGTTGGGGTGGTTGGCCAGCGGGGCCCACATCTCAACCGCCTCGCGCGCCCGCGTCAGGAGCTCAGTAGTGGGAATCACCTGGTGCAGGCAGGGCGCATGGGGCGGCAGCGGGGTGCATGATGAAGAGCCAAGCATGATGCATGAGGCTCAGCTGCAGGTCTACAGCGCGCATGGGCATTGCAGGTGGGGAGCATGAGGGATGCAGGAAGTTCCTAGCCCCACAGGCGTTACCAGCACCGATCCCGATACCCACGCCCCCGGCGGTTGTCGTTGCTGCTGCCTTGCATACCTGCTTGGGGTCTACCCGCCTCAGCGCTGCCGCGCTCCCGTCAACGGAGCTGATCCCCTTGACAAGCGAGGTGTGCAGCCCCAGGGCGGCGGAGGGCATGTCGCCCGCACCGCCCGCCCCTGCCGCCGCGGACGGCCCCATTGCGCCCTCCTCAAGCGGGTACAGCGTGTGGTAGGGGCCCAGTCGGAAGGGCGGAGTCACACCCGACTCGTCCGACTCATCGTGCCACTGCGCAGCCGGGTGAGGGTTGTTAGCGGCATGCTGGTTGTTAGTAGTACGGCACGGGACCGCGGTCAACATCCATTAGATCCCCAAGGGAGAGTGAAAAAGAAGTGGCGATCTCCCATCAGAGTATCGAGGGGTCATGTGGGTCACCGTGCTACACACACAACGCTAACTGTGCCACCCCCGCCGACCCAAATCACCTGCGCCGCAGTCATGTAAGCCCGGCTCTGCAGCTGCTGCCGCAGCCCCTCCTCCACGAAATGATGCCCCACGTACACACGCCCTGGGCCTGCAAGGTACAAGTCGCGTGTCCTGTACGACGGCAGGTGGCTGCCGCCCCCACTGCCGTACGCCGCCATGGCCATAGAGTTCACGGGGCTGCCAAAGCTGCCACCCCCCATCACAGGCCCCGTGCCCGGGTGGTGCATGCCGCCAGCACCCGGGCTCATGTAGCCCCCACCCGCGGATGCGCCTCGGCCGCCCCGACCGCCTCTCCCTGCCATGGGACCCGGGCTCCCGCCGCTGATGCCGGTGCTGCTGGCGTTGGCCGCCGCCGGCGGGTTTCGGCCCGCGCCTCTCCCTGTGCCATTGCTGGCGCCCCTACCCGGCTGGAACTGGCCGGGGGAGGGCGGCGGCACGCCTGCGCCTGCACCCCCGCCACTGCCGTTGCCGCCTCGGCCGCCGCGGCCCGCGGAGCCACGACCCCCGGCTGGTGAGGGAGAAGGAGCTGGGGAGGATGCAGCGGCAGGAGGAGTGCCACCCGGCCTGCGCCGTGTAACATTGGAGTCGAGGTGAGTCCAGGTAAGGTTACCCTTTTCTAAGTCCCTGTTCTTAGGCACAAAGCACGTCATCCACAACGTTGGGCCCTGTCGCCTACCTGACGCCACCAGCACCTGAGCTGCTTGCCGAGGCAGCGCCATCCATTCCCGCCAGCGCATCAGAGGACCCAAGCCTGCATGTGCGGTGAGCGTGATGCATGGCAGAATAGGTCGCCTATCAGCAAGTTATGACGCAGACAGCTGCCCTTTTACAGCCCCTTCCCGCCTCCCTCACCCGCGCCCGCCTTTAACGGCGCTGCCGTCAGACTGCTTCGGTACAAACGCAGCGGCGTTGGCCGCTAGTTTGGTAGGTGCGGCTGCCCGACCAGCGCTGCCAGGAGTCCCCTGTCCGCTGTGCACTTGACCCTTGCCGACGGCATTGCTACCTCCTGACCCCGAGCCTGCATCATCGGATGTACGCTCGGTACACACCAGGCAATTGACCTTCATGGACAGCATGCATCGACAACTAGGATACTGGACGCCGGCCCCTATAGGGACTTGAAGAGGTTGTAGTCTACCTAATTGTTTGAAGCGCGGTAAGGTATGCCTCCTACTGAGCACCGCGCCGTGACGACTCACCAGGCACAAACGGTTGCGCTTTCAACGCTGACTCTGGAAAGCTGCCTCCAGCAGGTGATCCTTTCGACTGGAATGGTGTCCCAGGAACGAAAGGGGCAGCATGTACCTTGCTCGAAAGGGAGTTGCCGACGGCATTGTCAGGTTGACTGGGCCCCGGCATCTGGGCAGGAGGATAATCTTGAAATTTAGGCCTTTTTAATAATCATTATTTAATTAACGTTTCGCTTCCACTTTAGCTTCCCGGAACCTGATCGCGCACTTCCTTGGGCACACCGTAGGCTTGAAAACAACAAGAGATTGCGACTTAAGGCATCGCCCAATCACGTTTTCCTATACCGGTATGGCAAATAGCGCAAAACAACATGTTGAAAACAGAGCTTTGCCAGGTGCATTCCTTCATAAGGCCCCAAGACCGTTGAGCTTCTGAGATGGCACACAGTGTTGTCTGCGCAGACGCGCAGGGGAAACCCGCATGCAGCTAATTTGTTGTACTTGTTTTCCAAGGGGTACTTGACGTGCAAAAGAACGCGTATCCTGTGCAGATTCCAGTATTGAGCCAAGACTAGATCACGGTACCGTAGTAAGCGCCGTATACCGATAGCAAAACGTAGGGCAGGGTAGTATTGGAGTTCCTGGAGTAATCGCGATGTCCATCTGTCGCTCCAAGCGGCAAGCCGGGCCGTCCCGTTTTCCCTCTTGCCCTGAAAAAGCAATGCACTTGTCTCCTCTTTGAGCGAGCTTTAATATGGAGAAAGAGCTGTAGAGCTTACAAGGGCTCGGAACCGGGCACAGACAGACAGCGCTGTGTGAGTTTGAAATATTGGACCTACCTTAGTCATCTAGCATATGTTAACAGGCATGTCTACATCAATTGTTGGGCTTTATTTGACAGGTCTACGTGGTGACCTAGACCTACGAAATTCAGCAGCACGGCTTTTCACTGGGTGTTGCAGCGATAGTGGCAGACTGGCCAAACCATGGGTTGCATTGCCAAGGCGAGAAGAAAGAGCTTGACCTCCAAATGCCTGGTTGCCCAACCACAAACCCTAAGGCTCTTTCCCACCTGCACATTTCCATCAATGCTACCAAACAAGCTTCCCAGGGGCTTTACTGAGCGCATCACACCTCCTGCACTTCCAGCTGCTGCCTTGTTGCATCACTGTGAAGCAGCATTCATCCCATCATGTATTGAGCCCTGCGTATTGCCATATTGATCTTGATAGCCTGGAGCCAGTAATGAAGGCACGCCATATCCGATCTAGCTGCGCAACAGCCAACTCCACCGACTACAATCTCCATTCTTCCTACTTCCCTACTTCCTTCCTCGCTTCGCAGCGGGCTTGCCCCCGCCGCCACGTCCCCCTGTTCTTGCCCCCGTCCTCCCGCCGCGTCCCCCGCCGCCGCCCTCCCCTCCCTGCGCCGACCCCTCACCACCAGCAGCACCAGCATCAGCGGACCCCGGCCCAGCCCCTTGCAACACCGCCGCCACCCACAAACACCGCTCCACATCTGATGCGCCCCAACGCACTTCCAACTGCACCTCCTGGGTAGCAGCAACAGCCGTAGCAGCATCCGTGCGCTCCGTGTCCTCTGCTGTGGGCCCTGTTGACCCTGCTGCCGCTCCTCCTTGGTGCGGCTCCAACTGCTGCTGCTGCCGTTGTTCCGCTTGCTGCGGCTGTGGAGGTGGTTGCAGCGCTTCTTGCCCTTGTTGTTGTTGTTGTTGTTGCAGCTGTTGCTGTTGCAAGCCGCGGGCCTTATCTCGCAGCAAGACATACAGCTCCAAATAAGCCTTACATGTTGCAGGGGTAGGCAAGAAGGGCAGGGCAGGAGGAGGCACTTGGCAAGTAGCAGCCGACTCAGCCCCCGCGGTTTCACTGGGTTGGTTTCTCTCCGACCCCCACCGCCCTGCGACTCCCTTACAACTAGGGTAGTCACTCTCGACCCCTCGCCCCACGCCTCTTATCAGTCATTACCTTAGTGCGCCACCCACCGCTGCAACACCCCGCAGCCCTGCGTCGCTGCACAAACCCTGCGTCCCTGCAGCCCCCCTCATCCCCACCTTCAGGCTGTAGTCGGCCCGCCGTGCACCGGCCGGCATGCACACCTCCAGCGCCTCATCCCCCATGTACGGCACCAGCGGGGGGCGGGCGGCGCACAGCAGCGCAGAGGCTGTGGCGGGGCCTGGCAGGGGGGCGGGGGGCGGGTGGGTGGTGGGTGGGTGTCAGAGAGAGGATTGCCAAACCCGCATTGTACCGGTACCGGTAAGCGCAAGCCAGGGCAAGCGGGGCGGTCAGGTACTTGCGTTCTTCCTCCTTACCCACTCCCTTGAGCTCCGAAAGCGCCTCCACCGCCGCACGCAATGCCGCCACGTCATCACGCGGGGCCCCGCGCCCCTCCGCCCCGCCTCCGCTCCCCCCCGCAGCCGCGGCTGCTGCAGGCTTCCGGCTGTGTGGTGGCTGCTGCTGCTGCTGCTGTGGTGGTGGCTGCTGAGGTGGAGGAGGGTGGTGGTGGTCCTGAAGGCCGCGGAGTGCAGCCAGGGCCCTGCGCGAGGCCGCCTCCACCACACCCGCCGGCTGCGAAGAGGAGGAGCAGGAGGAGCGGGAATGGTAGGAGGAGCAGGAGGAGCAGGAGGAGTGGTAGTAGGAGCGGGAATGGGTACCGGTAGGAGGCAAGTACATGCGGGGCCCTCTTTCCCAGGGGGCCCAGAGTAGGGTAAGGACGCCGAGGCATCGCGCCGCAGCAGGGCCGCAGCCGAGCCACAGGCGGCGATAGGCCCCCCACCGGCACACCCGGGTGTGCAAACGCTGTACCTCCAGCCACCCCCGGCACACCCCACGGCGCTCTACGTCTCCCCCGCCGGCCCCATAGCCCGCCCCCACCTGCTCCCGGGCATAAGCCAGCAGCCGTGGCCGCCACTGCCCCCGGGCCATCTTCCATTCCACCTGGGGAGGAGGAGGAGGAGGAAGGGGAGGAGCCAGGAGGAGGAGGGGAAGCAGCGTGTGCCGGCATTAGGTAAAGGTCGGGGCGGGGCGGGGCGGGGCAAGGGCGGAGGCGGCCAGGCCTACATGTAGCTGGGGAGCTTTGGGCAAGATGAGGAGCAACGGTGACACCCAACCACCCACCAGCTTCGCCAGCTGCTCCCGATTGATGCAAGGCTCTTCGGATTGTCCAGCTGGTGCACCCTCCTGCTCCTGCTCCTCTTCCTCCTCCTCCTCCTCCTGCTCCTGCTCCTCTTCCTCCTCCTCCTGTTCCTCATTCCTCTCACTATCCCCTGCCTGGACCATCCCCTCCTTCTTGCCCTCTTGCTGCTCCCTCTTCCCCGCAACAGCAGCCCCAGGGGTCAGAGCCGCCGGCAGCTGGAAACGGTACCACCTGGAGGGGGGGGGGCGAACAGGAGGCAGCAGGTGGAAGGAGGAGAAGCACCCCAATCCCAACGCCTCCGTGTGTACTGCGGAACAAACGCCCTCTGCGTCCTGCCCGTTGTGTTGGCTGCATCTCACTGGCTACCCCTTTCCGGTTAGTCTACACAGCCGCGGCGCGCACCTGTCTAGTTCGGGCAGGGCCGCCTTGCCCTTGCCGCGGCGCGAGGCAGTCAGTACGGCGGAGTCGTACTGCTGCAGTACATCGGACCAGAGGGCTGGATCGGAGCTGGCCCAGAGCTGGGAGGGCGTGGGCAGCGGCATGGCTGAGGTATAGGTAGAGGGAGCGCCGGTGGAGGGAGGAGATGCATGAGCGGGGTCGCCTGACGAGTCGGTAGCGGTAGACATGGATTGCAGGTGATTATGATGACTAAACGAGAAGACCAGAGAGAGAAAGGCCTAGGCACAGCTTTGCAGACCCTGTGTGCTAATTATCTTATTGACTGGAAAGTTGTTTAGGTATTGAAGCCGCAGGACAGGAGGAAAGGTGCGTGATGCGTCACAATGACAGCCACGAAGTGCAAAGCAAAGACAGATAGTGCAAATGGACAGGCTGCGGCATATAGCAGTTCGGTAGTGCTAGATGCGGCGTTGCGATGTGCCGAAAAGCCAGCCAGCTAGGGCGTGGGTTGATACGGCGCGTACGGGTCTTGCACGGTTGCGGTCGTTGTCTGCTTGCTGCTCGTCCATATGACTTTTGCTTTGTCGCTAGCAAAACGCGCACTGCTTAGAGTGTAGGCACGCTTCGTGTTAAGGCCGAAACGCGGATACGCTATAATTAACTGTAATACCCTTAAGAAACCGTTCGGGGCCATGGGCAAAAAGGACAAGGTATATGCTGTGATGCATGTTCCCTATCCACTGGTGGCAAAATTCCTTACGCGTCCGTTACAATGCGCAGGCGCAAGCAAGCCTAGCCGGCCGTGTCCCAATAGTGGAGGGTGGCAAACCATTATTGTACCCAAGATACAACAGTATTGATGCTCTATTACAGGTATGGCGTGCAACTGCGAATCCTAACCAGCTTGCAGGCGATGGCGTTGTAATTCTGTCGCCATCCTTTTTTACACACAGATCGCCAAAGGCGGCGATGCAAACGCAAATCGCGAGGAAACAGACGCTGCTGAGCGGCCGAGCAAAAAGCAAAAGCGCTCGGCCGCCGCCGCCACCAACGGCGATGCGGGCAGCGATGAGCAGCAAGCAGACGCAGTCCCGCAAAAGAAAGGCTACGGCGCTGTGGATGAGGACGGTTTGACGTACAAGCAGCGCAGGCAGATGCGTCGGGCTGCTGAGCGGGCTGCCAAAGCTCAGGCGGAGGCAGAGGCCGCTGCGGCAGCAGCAGCGGCAGGCGGCGCTGAAGGTGCTTGGGGGAGGGGGCTGAGTGCACGGGGGCAGCAGGGGTTATGTCGTATGTTATGCCGTACGGAAATGGGAGGTCCTGGGTGAAAGCCTGCATGGGGCTTCCAGGTTGTGCCAAGGCGATCGGGATGTTACGGGGCGCCTGCCGTCCGTCCTCACTTCCATTACCGGAGCTCTACCTTTCCACACAAGCCGCTGTATCCTTGCTGACGCATTCGCCCCCTTGTTCCCTTGTTCGCATCCCGTGCACTTGCAACACCTGCAACTGCCAACCGCCAACTGTCAACGGGACCCCAGCAGCCGCAGCAGCAACATCCGCAGCAACTGCTCCGGACGCAACACAAGCGCCAGCGAACGGCGACGCTGCAGCCCCTGCCCCTGCCCCTGCAGCTGCAGCTGCTGCTGCCCCCAGCGACAAGAAGGACAAGAAGAAGGACAAACGGAAAGCGGAGGAGTCCGCCGCCGCGGCAGAGGCAGCCGCCAAGGGCAATGCGGAGGAGGCAGCTCGCATGCGGGCCCTCCTGGGCTTCTCAGGGGGCGGCGCAGGGGCGGCATTGGGCCTCGGTTCCCTGAGCTTCGGCGCCGTCCTGGCTGCCCCAGCCGCTGGGGATGAGGCCGCTGAGGGTGATGCTGTGCCGGCAGCGGGGGGAGAGGAGCAGCAGCAGGGGGAGCAGCAGGAGCAGGAAGCGGGGGATGAGGGGTCTAAGAAGAAGAAGCAGAAGAAGGAGAAAAAGATCAAGAAGGAGAAAACGGAAGAGGAGCAGAAGGAGGACAAAGCGGAGGAGCAGCAGCAGCAAGCCTCAGTACCAGCAGAGGCAGGCCCCAAGGCTGGCAGCAAGGGCGGGAGGGGCGGCAAGGATGCCAGCAAACCCTTCTCGTTCGAGTTCAAGGTGCGCTGGCCGGGCGGCGCGGGTGTGGTGTTGGGGAAAGAGAAGAAGGTCGCGAAGTGGTCAACGCTAGTGACGTCCTTTGGTGAACGCTCCTGGGTGTGGGGTACTAGATAGACTGAGCCGCGGAAGCACGGATGGATGTGGTGTGTGGAGGGGCGTGTGGTGGGTGCGGAGGGGGTAGGCAGTTGCGGTCCCTGGGTGGCACCCAGGCGTGCGTGGTGGATGACCCACTTAGCAGCGCGTGTTGGGGACGTGACGAAGGAGGAGGAGGGGACAGTGTGCGTTATCCAACCAACGGAGCAGCAGAGTTGGCGGCGAGTGGACTGAGAGCGGGTGGACTGAATGCTTCCCACACCTGTCGTACTTCCCACACCTGTCGTACTTCCCACACATCTGTCGTACTTCCCTTACCTGTCGTGCCCCCAACTCGACCTCCCTGATACCGCAGATCCAGGCTGCGGTGGAGGCGGAGACGGAGGCGCGCCTGGCTCGCATCATGGCGCTCGACGCGACAAAGGACGGATTCGTTCCTCGGAGGGTGAGTGGCAGGGGGTGAAGGGCGTTCAGGTCGCTAGGCGCCGTACCCAATGCACGTGCCGCTA